CTGTAGGTACCTGTTAAAACCATTTGTTCTGGTGTGGTTTATCTTTCTGAAATTTCTTTATTTTTTGACTTATTGAATCGTCTATTTGTGATAGTGGGGTATTGAAGTCTTCTTCTTTCATTGTATTGCACTCTATCTGCCCTTCATGTCAAGTAGTTTTTAAGTTAGGAAATTGTGTGCACCAATATTCTTTACATACATATTTACAACTGATGTCTCGTCCATTTACCAATATTTAGGGACTTTCTTTGTCTCTTTTAACCAGTTTTGAAGTCAGCTTTATCAAGAATAGATAAACGATTGCTTTCGGGCTCTGGCTGCTTGCCCTGTAATTTTACATCCCTTCACTTTCAATCTGTGTATGTCTTTGTGGGTGTCTCTTGCAGGCAACATATAGTTAGAGTTTGATTTTTGATCCAATCTTCTAGTCTGTGTGTTTTGATCAAATAATTAAGATCATTTATATTGAGTGATGGTATTGAAAGGTATGTACTGATTCTTGTTATACTATCTTTCCAGCGCTTGACTCCTCTTTTTTCAGTTGCGTTCCCAGTGAGATTTATTCTTTCCTTTGGGTCCTTGGGTGTTCTTGACCTCCTTGTGTCTTTAGGATTCCATGAAGTATTTTCTGCAATGCTGGTTTGGTGGTCATGAATTTCTTTAGTCTATCTTTATTATGGAAGGCTTTTATTTCTCCATCAATTTTGAAGGATAACTTTGCATGGTATAGTAATCTGGATTGGCAATATTTTCTTTTAGGGCTTGAGAAACTTCAAGTTCTCCTGACTTTTGGGATTTGTATTGAGAAATCTACAGTTATTCTGATTGGTTTGCCCTTGTACATAAGCTGATACTTTAGCGGTTTTAGTATATGTGCTGCCAAAGCGAGCACTTCTTTAGTGGCTTTTAGTAATTCTCTTTGTTCTGAGTTCCTGGGATTTTGACTATGATGTGTTGTGGAGAAGTTCTTTTCTGGTCATGTCTATTTGGGGTTCTAAATGCCTCATTTACCTAGGTGTCCTTCTCATTATTTTGTGCAATAATTTCCCTGAAGGAATCTTTTATACCATGAGTTTGGGCCTCTTCTTCATCTTTAATTCCAATAATCCTTAAGTTTGTTCTTTTAGAGTCATCTAAGAGCTCTTGGATCATCTGATTGTCTCTTGCTTTTTCATTATTACTGAGTAAATATTCTACTTCATTAACCTCATGCTTAGGTTTTGATGTTTTGTCTTTTGACTGAGCTTGCCTACTTCCAAAACTTTGAATTGAGTTTTTCATTTCCAAGATCTCTGCTTGATTCTTTTTCATAACTTCTTTACTGATATGGTTCTTCATATCTTGAATTATCTTCCTTAATCATTCTGCTGCTTATTTGCTTCTTTAAGATTATTGATGATCATATGAATTGATTCACTCTGTTGCTTATTTACATCTTCAGGTTCATTGAACATCACAGTAATTGCTTCATTCAGCTGCTTATTTGTCTCTTTTTTTATTCCATCAGTCATTTTAGCTATTAGGTTTTTGTGTTTTTTGTCTGGAAATTCATCCACTTAAGCACCTGTGAGCTTTTTGGGAGTTAAGAATTTTTGGAGTTATCTCGTTGCCTTATATTCTCATTTATATGTTTTAATGTTGAAGGTTGTAGATTTAGTTGGTGTATAAAGCTCTTTCAGTATTGTAGAGTTATCTTTAGAAGGTGACTTTCTCCCTATATTGTGTCTTTAGCTTTGGGACATGATTCACTTTGCTAGGAGAGAACTACTACTGGTTATATCAAGGTCCACAGACCCAACCATATATCAACATATAATTTTAAACCTTTTTTAAAAGTTCTCAACTATTTCAATAACCCAGGAAAACAAAAAAAAAAATAGAATTGATGAGAAATAAGCTGGGAAATAGAGGAATATGAAACAAAAAGGAAGAAGATAAAAAGGAAACAAGAAAAAAGACCAAAGAGAATGAAAGAAAAAAGATATGTTTTAATGTTATTATTTTTTATCTGGAACAGGGAGGGGAAAGAGGAGGTGTGAGAGGTTATGTTTGGGAGCAGAAAGAAAGAAGAAAAATAACTGCTAATTAAGATGAATATTTTCAGAAGACAAATTTCAAAATATCAAAGAGAATTAATTAGTTATAATAGTAAAATCATTTATATTTTGCTGTTATAAATACTAAAGAGAATTAACTGAGAGTAAAATAACTTATGCTATTATAGATACTATTGGAGGCAAAGGAACTAAGATATTTTGTTATCAGCTAAATAATTTTTAAAGTTCGTGATGCAGTTATGGAAATCGATTTGCCAAATGCCAAAAGCCAAATGCCTCAGTTGCTCCCCACAATCAATAATTATCTCCTTTTGGGCCAGGGATTTAGCTCAGTGGTTTCGCCACCTGTTATGCAAGCGCAAGGACCCAAGTTCGATCCCCGGTACCAAAAAAATAATAATAATAATAATTATCTCCTTTTAATTTAGAACTTTTTAGAATATTGACTCCAAACACCGAATGCATTGTATAAACTAACGAAATATGAGTTGGGCATAGGTTAAATAAATTACGTTTACATACATAGTGACATAAATGAAATCCTTCTTCATCAGCGAGACCCGTGGCTTGCTGTGAATGTTGTTTCAGGTCTCGAATGACCAACTGACCAGGAAGTGTCCTGAGCTAAGCAGCATGCTCCTCACTGTCAGTGTGGAAAAGGCCAGGCTCCTCACTGAGCACCAGGCCATGCTACAGGCACTCACTTAGCACTCATGGGCTTCTGACGGGCAGCAGAAAGCCAGGCCAGTGAGGGGGTCAGGAAATGTGCACAGACAACTGCATAAATAAAACGTTTGAACAACAGATTCCAAAACTTTACTGAATTATTTCTTGATTAGTAGTTTTTATTTGTCATCAGAGGGATATTCATTTGGCCTTATACTCAGTGCTTTTTAATTCTTTTTCTCAAATATAATTATGTTAGGAAAAATAACTACCTGTCCTGTTATTTACAGAATCACTTATCTGACTCTAAAGCATTACCACCTCCCAAAAACTCCTTCTCACTTTGTGTACACCATTTTCTCTGCTGAGAATACTCTCCACTTTTATCTTCGACTATTTGAAATTCTGTTCTTAAGACTGACTTTCATTTGGCAGCTTGATCTTCCCAATCATAAGGGATATTTTTCCCTTTTCAAGTTCTATTCCTTGGACACTAACCTGACTATCATAATAATAGCTCTGTGTGTTTGTTTTTGTAGCATGTACCATCCATGATGCTAAGGATTTTACATGTCACCTCCTCTAACACGTTTGCACTGGTTTAAACCACTGGTAGCACATGCATGGCTGTCCAGTCGGGCAGCCTGGGACACTTCCACTGGATGGAACAAGCTGCCCCGGGGGACAGTTATGCACGTACCCTGGTTGTTCAGAGCCACCTGCCAGCGAGACATAGGAATTACAGCTCCATTGTGAATGTGTTAATCATAGCAGATGCTACATAAGAGAGTTTATTATCCTCATTTTACCAATAAGAAGAATGAAGTTTGAAAATGTTTTCTGACCTACCCAGAGCCAGTGAGGAGGAGGGCTGGATCTTACCTAGGTCTGAGGCAGCGTGGTGATGCATGCTCCATGGCCTGCCTACTCAGAAGCCCGAGGCAGGTGGGTCACCGAGTTCAGGAGCTCAAGACCTGCTGGGCAACATATTGACCCCCATCTCAAAACATGAAACAAAAACAGAACAACAAGAAATAAGCTTAGTCTGACTCCAGAACCAGTGTTTTTAGTCATTACGTTGTGTGCCTCCCTAGTAATAATTGATGTTCATGATTTATTTCCTGTCTAAAATTGTGAATTGCTAGAAGCAAAGTTACTGCCTTATGTGCCTGTTGTTTCCTCACAGTGCTAGATGTGTTTCGTGCATAAAAATACTCAATATTTTTCATTAATTCGGTGTTTATTCTGTGCAAGTATGATGCTAGATCTAGATAGAATTATAGAGACAATCCTTTTATGGACTTAATGTAGCATATGTAGCAGTCTCACAAATATTTCAAAACTTTGAGATAGTACACAAGTAGGATCCCATTTTACCAAGTATAAAGGTGTGAGGCTTTGTTTTGCAATCAAAATATCATTAAAATAAAAGCATTTTAAAACATTTGCAAAAGTACCTGTTAATATGCATGTTTGTAAAATCTTTTAAGATTGCAGGTAAAATGTGTGTGTGTGTGTGTGTGTGTCTATGTCTATGTGTCTGTGTGTATAAAAATGTTGTCTCAAAAAATAAAAAAGGAGGGCCAGGATTTAGCTCAGTAGTTCCACCACCTGCCTCGAAAGCGCAAGGTCCCGAGTTCAATTGCCGGTAACAAAAAAATAAAATTAAAAATTAAAAAGGGCTGGAGATGTAGCTCAGCAAGAAGGTCCTGGGTTCAGTCATCAATACTGAAAAAATAAGTTGTTTTGGTAACTCCAAAATGATGACGCAGAGAAAATAAAATTGTGGAAAACATTTACAATGCTATTGCTGCAACAGTAACTGAGTACAGTGTAAGGTATTCTCAAAAGAACTCACTGTTAAAACTATTAAATGATTAGCCCTAGAGAGCGGCATTGTTTCGAGGGTGGGGAAGATAGAGGTGAAGAAATCTTCTCACCGATATTTAGATACATTTAGATTGTTTTACCTCTTAAAATGATCAATTGAAATTTTAATATACCAAAAATATTCTTAATATAATTTTTAATCTTTAAAAATAAATTTACATTAGGAGCTTTACAAAATTTTCAGCAGCCTGGATAAATAAAATCTCTTGAGTATTGGGCAGTGGAGCTATAAAATGATATGATTGGAGTCAACTCAGGCTGGAACAAAGAGAAAAGCATTAAATTTTACAGAAATATAAAACTTGTGTTTTATAAGTCAGTTCGTGGCTTTGATCCATTACCCTGAATAACACTGGATCGGCTTTCACTGTTACTCCCAACACTCAGGTGGAGCAGCAGGTGATGACACAGAAGTTTCAGGAACAAAGCCCGCTGCTGGATGCAGCCCGTGCCAGCATCACAGGAGAGCTGCACACTGTTCAGAACAAGAAAACCCAGCTCCAGGCTCATCTGTAAGTCCAGTACAGTGGCTATGTATACACCTTTTGTTCTGGGATTTGTGTTTCTCATCATATTGAAAACATTTATTCCACATTGGCTGGGCCAGCCTCAAAGATAAAGCTTCTCCCTTTGAGGAGCTAGTTTGGTAGGACACTTGTAACTGTTCTCAGTAGGAGTCAATCATGCGTTCTGAAACAACATTCAATCACTCCTTCTGCTAAATCAGATCTCTCATTTGACTTTCATGTATCCTAACTCTCTTCCTGAAGGAACCATCTAACCCTTGAGCATAACCAGTGTGTGCAGAAAGCCTGGGATGCTGAAAAGAGGACAGCTGGGCAGAAGGAGCATCTGGAATCCACTATCGCAAGACTTCGAGGTGAACTGGAAGCATCGGTGCAAAAGAAGAAGTCCCTGCTGGAGGAGAACAAAAGATTTCAGAGAGAGGTGGGTGGAAGAGATTCCCACTGCCTCCCCCTTGCCGTGCGATGATGGGGTTTTTTTGTTAAATTCTTTTATTGATACATTTTAGGTATACAACATAATTACATTTCTCATTGGGAATTGTACCTTTACATAATGCATCTTGGTTCTTATTTTTTCCCCATTCCTAGCCCTCCCTTCACCCCCTCCACCCTTCCCTAGTTACAAAGACTTTATTTCCATTTTTTCCATTTCTCAGCATTTTTCCTTTCCCTTCTTTCCTTTCCCCTGCCCCTCCCACTACTCCTACCCCTTTGGGCCTTTTCTTCCTATTTTACATTATCAATTATTCATTCTAATCATTGGTACATTTTAGGTATACAATATAATGACATTCATTGTTGGAAATTTGCATCTTTACATAATCTCTCTTGGTTCTTATTTTTTACCCTTGCCCAGCCCTCCCTTCAACTCCTCCATTCCTCCCTATTTACAAAGATTTTGTTCCTGTTTTTCCATTTTCTCATATTAATCCCATTCCCTTCTATCCTTTCCCCTAGCCCTCCCACTTCCTTCCCCTTTGCCCCCTTTCTTCCTATTTCACATTACCTATTATACCTTTTAGTCTTTATTTACACTTTCAGTTTCTCACACCAGAGAAACTATTTGGTATTTACACATGTGTGTCCTATTTATTTCACTTAAGAGTATTGCCTCAATGTGCATCCACTTAGCTATAAATGTCTCTAATTTCTCATTTTTTTATGGCTGAGTAGTACTCCATTTTATTTTTTAAAAACCACATTTTTTTTATCCAGTCTCCAGTTGATGGGGATTTGGGCTGTTTCCAAGCTTTAGCTATTACAAACTGTGCCACTATAAACATAGGCGCACATATATCACTGTGGTGTGATTCTTTTAATTCTTTGGGGAAGATCCCCAGCAGTGGAATAGCAGGGTCAAATGGGACTTCCAGCCCTAGTTCTTTGAGGTATCTCCATACTGATTTCCACAGTGGTTGCACCAGTCTACACTCCCACCAGCAGTGGAGCAGGGTTCCTCTTTCCCCACAGCCCTGCCAGCATTTGTTATTGGTTGATTTCATGAGATGATGTTTTGAAATTGTACTTTAAGTGTAGTTTCAATACCAGAAATTGAACCAGATGTAGTTTGTCCGAGTTTCCTATTTAAAAATCCTAGTGTCTAACGCATCCTTTGGAGCATGGGAAGCAGCCTGTGTCAAACAGGACAGTGCACGCAGCACTGGGGAGTGTCAACGAATAATTCGCACATCCTGCTGTAGTTAAGGGTCACGTTTTGAAAGTTGACATCCTCTGGAGGGGGCGGTGGAGATTGGGGTGCAGCCCTTCCTTCCTAGCTAGGAAGGACCCCACAGTCTGCCATGTAGAGGTGGCTTTCTGATTTCTGATTTCTGTTTGTGCAGCCTGCTTGCCTCAGACGCCTGCCCGGCCCCTCTTCTGGGAGAAGAGCGATGAGGTGCAGTGTAGGTAGGAAAGTCACACAGGCTGTGTATGCTCGAGGAGAGCCTGTCAGCCGCTGTAAACTTGACCTATTTCTTTTTCTCTCTCTTGGGCAGGCTAACAAGACAGAAAAAGAAATAGCACAAGAAAAATGTGCTTTAGAAAAGGAGTTAGCTAAAAGCAAGATATTCCATGTTTTTATTTGTTGATGTTGGCTGTGTTTTATTTCTCTCTGTGTTGCTGCCTGCTGTGGGTGATTTTGCTGTGATGGGGGCATAAATCTGATGCCTCTTGGGGCTTTCCAGGCCCCGCAGTGGAAGGCAGCTTCCAGGGCTGTTCCCGGGTTGCTAGGGAGTCCTCGCTGCCTCTGGCCTGGTGCCCACCCCACTGAAGATATCAGCCGACAGCCTGCTGAGTGGGAGCCGGAGGCCAGGGGAGGCATAGTGATGCTTTCTGACACTGCTGTTTAAAAAAAACAAAAACAGGGCCAGGGATTTAGCTCAGTGGTTCCACTGCCTGCCTCACAAGCTCAAGGACCCGAGTTCTATCCCCAGTACCAAAAAAAACAAAAACAAAAAATAAAAACAGTTTTAGCCAAGCATGGGTACATGCCTATAATCCCAGCTACTTGGGAAGCAGAGGCTGGATAATCACAAGTTCAAGGGCAGCCTAGGCAACTTAGCTAGACTCTGTCTCAACATACAAGAATATAAGGGGCTGGTCATGTAGTTTGGTGGTGGAGCATCCAGGTTTGGTCCCTGGTACTGGGGGTAGGGAAGCTTCAAACTTCCTAAGTGTGCATAAGCACCTAGTACTTCATCTTAGAGGCAAACTTTTCTCTTTTATACTTTCTTAGAAACTGAGACATATTTGTACATCTTTATGAGGTACACTGTGATAATTCCACGTCTACAGTGTGATGATCAGATGAGGATAATAAACACTTCCATCTCTTCAACGTGAGTCGTGCTAGGTGTTAGGAAAGCTAGGCTCTTCTCTGGACGTTTGGAAATGCAGGGTTTTCCACCAGTAGCTCTCCTTCCTCACTCTAGAAAGCTCCAGAATGCTCACTGTGTTTTGGTGCCCTTGTAACTCCTGGCCGTCTCCTCTTCCCTGTATCTGTGGGTCACTCTGTTGTTCTAGCAAGGAGAACATGTGGTATTTGCCTCATGATCTCTGTCTGGGTGACTTTACTTGACGTCGTGAACTCTAATTCTGACCACGTTGTTGCAAATGATAGGCCTTCATCCTTTTTATGGCTGAATAATACTCCACTGTACTTATGTGCTACATTTTCCTTATCTGCTCATCCACTGCTGAGTGTCTAGGTTGACCCCACGCCTCACTTACTTGAACAGTACAGTAATAAACATGGAGGTGCAGGAAGCTTCCTGGTTTCGTGGTTTCATCCCCTTTGGATATGTGCCCTTAGTGGAATTACTGATCACATAGCAATTCTATTTTTACCTTTCACAACAATTTTCATATTTTTAGTTTTCAGAAGAAGGTTCGCACTGTTTTCCATAGTGGCTGTACCAATTTACATTCCCACCAGTGGTATATAAGGGTTCTCCTTTCTCTGCATCCTTCCCAGTATTTTTTTTTTTTTGCCATTTTGATGATAACCACTATAACTGGGGCAGAATGATACCTTGTGTTTTGATTTGCATTTCCCTGATGATTAGTGAGATTGAGCTTTTTTGTTTTGTTTTTTTAATAGCAAAACACTTATTGGTACATTATGGTACATACATAATGATAACACTCATCGTAGAGAATTTGTACCTATACATGATTGTTTGTTTTGATTTTTGAAACAGGGTCTTGCTATGTAGTTCAGGCTGACCTTGAACTCATGGCAATCCTCCTGCCTCAGCCTCCTCATGCTGGGATTACAAGCATGCAACACCATACCTGGCTTCACATTTTTTCATATGTATTTGTTGGCCATTTGTACATCTTTTTTTGTTGTTGAGAAGCCTTTTTAATTGGATTTTACCTTTTTATTTGGATTTTTTCGATCAGTTTTTAAATTCCTTTTATATTTTAGATATTAATCCCTTGTCAGATAGTTTGCAAATATTTTCTCCTCTTCTGTGTTATCTCTTACCTCCTGTTATTTTTCTTTGCTGTGCCAAAGCTTTTTAGTTTGATATAATCCCATTATCTGTTTTTACTTTTGTTACCTGTGACTCTGGGGTCTTGTATATAGTATCTTTGCCTGTACTAATGTTTTTTTAAATTTTAGGAAAAAAAATAAAATTTCATAATCAAATGATAAGAAAATAATAGTTATTACACTGTGTATCATTGCTCTCAAAGTAGTTACTCAGAGTACAGTATGTAAACCAAAAAGATTCTTACAAAAAAGAAATCATCACACAAATCTTTCTTTTCAATGAACTAAGGTAAACTAGTAATATAAATGATACTAGTGAGCATATATATTGAAATACTTGTAAAACAATGGGATTTGTAATTCGGGGAAGTATTTGAACTTCTTCTATTTATCATTTTTTTTTTCTCATAGAAGAGAAACCATGTGATATTTGAGCTTGTTTGTCTGATTTATTTCACTTAACATTATGTTCTCTAGTTGTATCCACTTACCCGTGTCTTGAACTATTTCCCCTTTGTTTTCTTATAGTAATTTCAGTTTCGGGTTATACATTTAGTTCTTTGACCCGTTTTGAGTTGGATTTTTGTGTGCTGTAAGGGACAGGTTCTGTATCTGCGTGTCCAGTTTGGCCACAGCGTTTAATGAGGAAGCCTGTCCTTTCTCCACTGTACATGTTTGTAGCACTTTGTCAAACAGAAGTATACTTGGAATAGATTCATTTCTGTGTTCTCTATTCTGTCCCACTATTGTACAGTGGAATTTGCCTTTCTTAGTGTGCAGTTCTTCGAGTTTTGACAAGCGCATACAAGCGTGTAACCACTGGCACAACCAAAATACAACCATTCTGTCAACCCAGAAAGTTCTCTTGTGCTTCTTTGTAATGAGCCTGTTTTCTATCCCTGTCTCCTGCCAACTACTGATCTGTTTTTCTGTCCCTGTAATTATGTTTTCCAGAATGTCATCTAAATAAGGCCACATAGCATGTAACATTTTAAATCTAACTTCCTTCATTTTTAGCATAGGCACTTGGGAGTCATTCTACCATGTGTCAGCAATTTGTGTCCCGTTATATGGGTATACCACAGTTTCTTTATCAATTGAAGGGCATTTGGGTTGATTTCTAGATTTGGACAATTATTAATAAAACTATGAAATACATATGCATATATTTAAGGAGTGATCAAGAAATATGGTGAATGTTTAAATTTTGAAAAAAATTACAGTAAAAGACATATTTCCATTAACCACCCCCCTCCCCAAACTCCCCTTTGCTTTGAACACACTTATCCCATCCTTCTTGCCACTTTCTAAAGCTGTTCTGGAGTCCTCTTTCATGAGGGTCTTTGCTTGTGCTGTCACAGCTGCCTCGATGTCTTGAATCAGTCATGGTTATTTTGACTTTAGGGAAGAAGCAGAAGTTGCATGGTGCCAGACTCATGAATAAGGTGGATGATGATGTACTCTAATGTTTTTACAAGGCTGCTTTTCTGTCGGATGGCTCTTGGCCACAGCATTTGCCATATTTGTCACACCTCAGGAAAGAGGAATTCTAGAAATGCTTCAGAAAGTAGTGAGAATGATGGGATCAATATATTTGAAATGAGGAGGAGTATCTTGAGGGAGATTAATGGAAACATCCTGTACTGTAACAAAAATTTTTTAATTTAAGCATTCACTGTGTTTTTCCACCACAACTCATATTTTTATTTCTCAGGTAAATAGGAAGAGTTGGATTTCTGGATCCTTTAGTAAAGATATGCTTAACATAAAAACAGATTCCACAGTTGTTTTTCAAAGGATCTGCACAAACTTGCATCCCCACCAGTAACTGATGAGTTCAGGATCTCTATATTTTCACCAACATGTGGTGTTGTCATTTCTTCTTTAGCCATTGTGATTGCGGTAATGGCATATTATTATAGTTGTAATTTGCTTTTTTCTGTGACCAAAATATTGAGCATCTTTTCATGTACTTATTTACCATTGCAAATTAAACTGTCTCTTCAAACCATTTTTAATTCAGTTGTTTTCTGACTGAGTTTTCAGAAATTTAAAAACATTCTCATATTCTTAAGTAAAACTGTTTTATTTGTGTGTATATATATATATAACTTTTATCGTGTTTTATGAATATCTTCCTACATTTTATGCCTTTTCAATTTCCTTTGGAGAGTGGAAGTTTTTCATTTTTATGAAGCCTAATTGTCAATTTACATTTCATAAATCAATCATACTTTTTGTATTATATCTAAGAAATTTTGCCTGACCTAACTAAGATCACCAAGATTTTCTCCTTTATTATCCTCTAGAAATCTTCTAGTTTTATATTAAGGTCCATGATCCTTTTTAATTTAGTTTTGATGCATCATGTGAGGTATAGTTCAAGGTTCATTTTATTTTCTGGTGGACATCTGATTGTTGTAGTACCTTTCAAATCTGTCAGTTGATGGGCATTTGGATTGTTTCCCCTTTTTGCATATAAATAAGTCTATGAGCATTTGTATTCAGTATTTTTGTGAACACGTTTTCAGTTTTCTTAGGACATCGTACAGGTAAAATTGCTGGTTTATCTGGTAACTGTCTTTTGAAAAACTGCCCGACTGTTTCCCAGTCGCTGTACCGTTCTGTAGTCCCACCAACAATGCGTGAGAGTTTCTGTATCTCCACAGCCTCACCAATGTGTATTGTCCACATTTTAAAAATATTCATCCTGGTGGATCTGAAGTATTTCATTGACCTATTTTTAATTGAGATAAGGCACGTAGTATAAAATTAACCATTCGAAGTGACTAATTCAGCGAGATGTAATCCTCGTGTGTGTGGAAGGGAACTGGATGGGGGGGTGCTCTGTTCATCAGGGATTCATCCATGGAGGAGTTCGGCGCCCCGTGCTGGTCGGAGGCGGGGCCTGGTTGGAGGAGGGTGGCGTGGGTGTGGCTTGGAAGAGTGGCTCCTCCCCGGCCCCGCCCTTCTCTCGGCTTCCTGGCTGATAAAGAGGAGCAGCTGCCCGCCATCCAGGCCCTTCCCCGTGGCCAGGGACTGCATCTTGAGGAAAATAAACTTATCCTCCTCTGAGTTGGGGATTCGGGGTATGTATTACACTTTTCTCTCGTTGCTGAGAAAATACCCAACACCGAAGGTGAGAGGAGGAAAGGCTATTTGGCTCACAGTTTATAGAGGGGCCAGCCCATAATCGGCTGGCTCCAAGGCAGGGTGGCACGGGGGCAATAGTTCACGGGGATGGAAGAGCACAAGAGCAACAAGGGCCCTTAACAGCGTGGTTCTGCCTCTTTTATCCCATCGATCTACCAGGGATTGGGTGGTGCCAAACCGGTCACTCACTCACTGTAGTGGTTTAGTAGCCACACACCCTTGATCCCAGCATCACACATTCCAGATTCAGCCAGCTCTGAAAAAGGAAGCCCCCCTCATCCGCATGAGGCCTTAGGAGGAAACACAAGCCATAATAGGGTATTTTGGCCCAGTGACGAGAAAGTGCCTAAGGCAGCGTTCATCGTGTTCAGCTGCCACCGAGTAGTTCATAGCATTTTTATCATTCTAAGAGAAGACCGTACCCACTAAACAGTCACTCTCCATTCCTTCCTTCTCCTGGCCCCTCACCACCACCCAACTGCATTGTCTTTGTGAATTTACCTATTTGGGTATTTCGTGTAAATACAGTCACATAAAATGTGGCCTTTTATGTCTGGCCTCTTCCAGTTTAGCGTATTTTTGAGTTTTTCCGCACATCTTAATTATGCTTCTATTTTTCCCTCCCATCCTCCTCCCTCCCTCCATCTCGTGGTTTCATTCCCATTTGCAAAAGCTCTATCTCCCTGTTTCCTATCATCTGCCTTTTATTTTGCTCTTTAAATTACTTATATGTTGGGTTTCTTATATAAGAAAAGCTTTGTGATATTTAAATTTGCATGTCTGATTCATTTCATTAACATTATGGTCTCAAAATGCATCCATTTTCCTACAGATGCTTCAAATTTATCCTTCTTTATGGCAGAGTAGTACTCTGTGTGTGTAAATACTGCATTTTCTTTATCCATTCAACATTATTGATCAACATATAGGCTGCTTCCAAGATTTGGCTATTGTGAGTTGTGCTGCTGTAAAAATAGGTATTCGTTGGGGCTGGGGGTTTAGCTCAGTGGTTCCGGTGCCTGCCTCACAAGCTCAAGGTCTGGAGTTCAATCCCCAGTACCGGAAAAAAAAAAAAAATGGGTATTCGTGGATCACTGTAATGTGATGTCTTTGACTCTTTTGGGAAGATTCCCAAAATAGAAATAGCTGGGTGAAGTAGAATTTCTATTTTTAGTTTTTTGAGGAATCTTCATACTGATTTTCATAGTGGTTGCACTAATTTATACTCCCACCAACAATTTGTGTGTGTGTGTGTGTGTGTGTGTGATGGGGATCGAACTTGGGACCTTGGGCTTGCTTGGCAGGCGGTGGCACCACTGAGCTAAATCCCCAGTGCTCCCACCAACCATTTATAAGGGTTCCTTTTTCCCTGTAGCCTTGCCAACATGTTATTGGTTTCTTGATGGTGGCCATTCTTTCTGGACTAAGATAGACTCTCAGTGTTGTTTTAATTTGTATTTGTCTAACGGCTAGAGATATTGAACACTTTGTCATGTATTTATTGGCCATTTGTACTTCTGAGAGGTATCTATTCATTTCAGTACCCATTTTTTGATTGGGTCTTTTATTGAGGGGTCTAACTTTTTTGAGTTCTTTATATGTTTCAGGTATTAATCCTCTGCCCAGGGGATAGTTAGCAAATTTTTTTCTCATTCTTAGGTGGTTTCTTCACTCTATTGTCAACAATTGAGCTTCTGTTTAGAAAGTCCTTACCTATGCTTGTGTCTTCAACAGGTGTATGTATTTATGTCTTCCAGCAGATTATTTCTGCTTAATATTTAGGTCTTTGATTCATTTTAATTTTATTTTAGAACACGGTGAGAGATATGGATCTAGAGTCATTCTTTGGCGTGTGTATGGCCACCTTTCCCAGCATTATTTGTGAAAGAGGCTGTCCTTTCTCTAATGTATGTTTTTGGCCCCTCTGTCAAACATTAGATGGCTGAATGTACCTGGAGTTATTTCTGCATCCTCTCTTCTATTCCATTGATCCACTTGCCTGTTTTTGTGCCAGTACCATTCTGTTTTTATCACTGTAGCTTTGTAATATAACTTCAAATCTGAGATTTTGATGCTTCCTGATTTGCTCTTATTGCCCACAATTGCTTTTTCTACTCTGTCTCTTCTGACTTCGTATGACTTTCAGGATTGTTTCTCTAGTTCCATGAGGAATGCTGTTGGTATTATGATTGAGATTGCATTAAATCTGTATATCAGTTTTGGGAAGTGTGGCCATTGTGATTATGTTTATTCTGCCTGATCTACATACAGGGACACAGATTTCTTTCCATTTTTTGGTGCCCTCTTCCATTTACTTTTTCAGAGTTCTATAGCTTTTCATATAGAGGTCCACAGTCACATGGCTCCATTGCTTCTGGGCCCATGTGAGCAGTACATCATGGTGGGGAGCATGTGGTGGAGCAAAGAGGAAGCAGAGAGTGACAGAGAGAAGGGAGGTTGGAACAAGATTCAATCCCCAAGGGCAGGGCCTGGGCCCCACCTCCTAATAACCCATTGGGCTGTGAACTCATGGATGCGTCATGATACACTGATCTCCCAAAGGGCCATCAGCTAGCAACCAAGCCCCAGCACCCGGCCTTGGGGACATTCCCAATCAAAGCACAATATGCCTGCCTCATGCTATGTATTATAAGTAACCTAGAGATAACTTAAAGTCGGCTGAAGGATGCGGTGGGTTATACTGATTGACAGTGAATACTCAAGCTTGATCCCAATAAACTTAGTCCTTGTACCCTTTTTGTGTATTTCTGCATTCATTGTGTCAATATTTTGTGGAGGATTTTTGCATCTGTATTCATAAGCTTTAATTACTATTTAATCAAATACCAAGTACCCAAACAACCTCCACGTTTATTAAAGGTGAACTGTATGTTTTGCAGTAATCCTCCTGCTGAAGACAACTAGAAAACCCAAAAGAAAAGAAAAATAATTAGAGCACTGTAGAGTTATCAGACTCATCCCATCAGATCCCTGCACCAGAGGCCGGGGACATGAGCTTGAGCCACATTCCAAGTTACAGTTACAACTGTCATTCTAAGAATGAGATGATATAGTTCTGGATTTGATGCAGTTTTTCATCTTTTATTTTTCAAAAGTAGATGTAAATGCCTTAAATGAAAACCTGCAAACTCTCGTGGAAGAAAACAAGCACCTCACAGATAAAATGGCTTCCCTTGGGCTTCAGCAAGTCACTTCTGATTACCATGGGGTGGGTATAAAAAGGCCAGTCTAAAGGAGGAAATAATAACTAATGAGTTTTTTAAAAAGCAGAAGTCAGAAGAGGTTTTCTTTGTGTAATCATAAGTCCTTTGCATGTGTTATCATATCTCAGAATAAATATGGCACAGTTCCCTTCAGTACTCAAGCAAGAGAAGATTTAGGAAACCAAGAATTTAAAACAGCTATTGAATGGCTGCCTACACAGATAATTTTTGATACTGAAAAGCAAAAAAGTATCTGATGTTTTAAAGTATTTCTTCTTCCATAAACTATGAAGTGGAAACTTAGATGTTTTCTCTTGTCAGTTCCTTCTAATAGGCAATTAGTAAATGTCTGATTTCTAAAACCTATCTGACAAGATCACTGAATTATAAATAAAGTTAAAATTCTTAAAATAGCTCCAAAAGAAAGGGATTTAAAGAAATGATCTTTCTATTAAGCTAATAATTTTCCTGTGTTTTATTACTTGAAAAAAAATTAGTTATTGCTAGTATGACAAGCAAATAATTTTTGAAAATTCCACAGAGGATCTGAGTGAGTCTTAATCTCAGTGAAATTCTGTCAAACTCTGCCCTAAATTGCTCCCTACTTCAACGATGAAGAATTACACAAACTAGTCTAAATCTTTTATCTTCATGGCTTTCAAGCCAGACTATCTAGGTTTCAATTTTGACTGTGACCACAGATATGATCTTTAACCTCTCAGAGCTTCAGTCTCTTGAGGATATTAATACTATTACTGTCAATTGTTTGAGAAGTAAATAGGTTCATACATGCCAAGCATGTAGCAGGTACTTCTGTGTGTTGAATCCTTAGCATCTGGACTGTGGGCAGGGCTGGAAGTGCCCGTTGGAACAACAAGCTGCCTTAGCAGTGATTCCCCGTATAACCTCAGACCATCCCTCCCTTAGCCCAGGATTAAAGACAGCCGTATCCTTTGCCTGATGGCCAGGCCTCAGCTCGGCTGACCTAACCATCTGGTTTGGGTGTCTCTGGAAGACCACATCTCCGTCTGCTTGATTTTCTCCAGATCCACTGCCGTGAGCAGGCCCTTGGGCTTACCCCATCGGTGATGCTGACAGATCTCACGGGCAGCTTGGTCAGTGGTGACTCTTGCACTCTCACCCTGCCTCTTGATGAAAATCTCCAGACAGCTCACACCTCAGTTCTGGCTTGCAGCTCTGTTTCCTCCTAGGAGCTTCTCTACCAAGCCAACCTGGGAGTATTTCAATTGGGTCTGTGAGTCTGAAGAATGAGGCTTAGGGCCCAGGACTCATTTTTGAATTTACTAACTGCACTAAATCTGTTGCCATTCAATGCTGTGGTGTATTTGTTCTTTCAGAGTTAACACTTGGGAACACCCTCCCACTCGCCCCATACCGGGGAACAAACTCAGAATGTTGCAATTGCAAGGCAGGCAAGGTACCACTGAGCTAAATCCCTGGCCAACACTTGAAATTCTTAAGGTGTCCCCTCTAGAATACACATGTGAGAGGGGCTACATGAATAACATCGCAGACTTGAGTTGAGACAAGTCTGCTCAACACCTGGCTCCTCTGCCTGAGACCTCGGTGGGTTCGTAACCTGCGAGGCCTTCGGTGCTGCGAGCCGCCCCCCCCGCCCCCCGCACCGTGGGGTTCGCGCAGCACACGGTGCACACCCACGTCAGCGGAGTGACCACGCGGATCCCAGATGGACCTGACGCTGCCTTTGCCTTCACCCACTCCTAACGCGAGCACAGGGGCCACCCATCCTTACTCCCCGGCCCAGCGCGACGCCTGCAGTGACCGCCAAGAAACGTGACTGGACACCACCCAGAGCGTCGCCTGTGTCTCACCAGGGCTTCCTCTTCCGTGCCAAGTGCCCCTCACAGGGCCTAACAGGCAGCATGCATGAATGAGCATTATTCTTTTTGGCTTACATTTCCTAATTGTATCTTTTGCTACTTCAGCCATTAGTGACAGGGAGCCACGGGGAGAAAAGATCCAAGTGTAGGAAGATTACTATTTCTGAGTTTAAGCTGAGTGATTGTCTTTCTCAGTTCTTGTTCAGATTTTAAACATACATTTAAGTAGTAGCACCAAACAAATATAGTTTCCTGTGCAACTGGGAATTGAATGACTTGAAATTAAACAATGATTAAATGTGTTCTTAAAGGATGATGTTCAGTCAGTTAATACCCGTGCAAGTGTAAGGGTGGTTGAATCTGCTTTATGCCCCATGTCAAAAATTGGATAAAATCCCTACTCGCCTTTTCCTTATAAAATAACTTCACCAAGATGGTGAACCAGTATCTTACTGGTTTTATATATTCTGACAGCTTGTGCCATTAAGCTCAAAAATTATTTTAGAGCTGAGACATGCCTCAGTGGCATGGCGCTTCCCTATCATGCATAAGGTTCTGGGCTCAATCCCTAATAACACAAAAATAGAAAAAAGAAAACATTATTTTGAAAGCATTATGTGGCTGTTTGTATTAGCTTTCGGTCTCTGTGCTTAGATACCTGAGATAATTGACTAAAGCAGGGAAGATCTTTGGTTCTAGGTTTGGAGGTTTCCAGGGCTTTGTTAGTTGGAAGCCCCCACGCTGCAGCCTGTGGAAGGCGGGATGTCATGGTGGCATGGCAGGAGAGCTGCTCCCCTCAGGGCGAGTGGAGAGCAAAGAGCCACAGGAAAGGACAGGGCCCCAGTGTCCCTTCCGAGGCCACGCCCCCTGTGACCTCACTTCTTCACTAGTGCCCCCATCCCTAAAGCTTCCAGTGTGCCCAGTAAGCACTGCCCTGCCTGCCCTTGCCAGCTGACCTTTCCTGTCGTAGGCAATGCTTCCTGTGATTGCTTTCTGTTTCTCTGAGGAGGATATTGTGTTTCTGAGTTTAAAAAATATACTAAACACTGGCACTTTTCTTTGTTGTTTCTCAGGTGCCTCCCAAGTTGCAGTTCTCTGTATTAATAACCTTCATCATCATTTGCCAAGGTTATTTCACCAAAGGTTCCTCTCTGTCCTTTTTTCCACAGATCGGAACCTGAGATTTTCATTCACGTGGCTTCTAATATCTGGTCTAATGACTGCAGCACAGGGTCTAAATCTGTAAACAGTAATTTAAATGAGTGCCTTAACACCTACTTCCCCTTAGCAACTGGTAACAGCCTCTCGGCTTCACACAGTGTTTGGTGACCCTGTGTCAGACATTACCACATTTTGATTTTGCTCGCTGTTTTCACTTACCGCATTAACATTCTCTTTGTTGGCAACAAGCGGAAATTATTGCTTAAAATGTGTTTTTAACAGATTAATGGAATTTCTTTATGCCTTTGCTTAAAGAAGGAATTTTATGGAGGAAAAAAATGCTATTATTTAAAAAAATTCCTGGACACCTTTTATAAGAGATCCAGACTAAGTTACTCCAAAAAACCTTTCCACATTTTAAGATAAGCAGATAAGCAAAGTTATCTTTGAATGTTTAATATTTGTTATTACTAGCATAATTAGGTTAAATCTAGTTTTTTAACATTCTATACCTATACTTTATAGCACATAGAGACACCTTAGTTTATAGAACTTGGAACTAAATTTTAAATAATTAAGCTTTTGGTGGTGTTGTAGCTTTGTTTTCTATCATTTTTGGCCGTCCTCTTGATTTTTTGCTCCTGAAGACTTGGCAAAAATATAAACAGGATACCCTCACGTTAAGCGAAATAAGCCAGACTGAGAAAGTCATATTGCGTATTTTCTCTCACATGTGTGGGAGAAGGAAGAGGGGGAAAAAAGGAGAGATGATAGAAAAGTAGTAGCAGGGCACTGGAAGTAATCAGAATGTGGTGTATGCTTCCACCGGTCCGCCTTAATGAAACCCATTACCTGGTGAAACTACTGCGTACTAATAAAACAAAACTGTATGCCTCAAACTATAGCGTTGCAGTCATGGGGTGATTTTGCATTGTATTTCTAAAACGACACTATGGGGAAGGGGCTGAATATCTTTCACAGTCCGAATATTATTAAGTAATTTATGATAATATAATCACTAGCCTCCTATTTATAACAGTCTGCATCTCCTTTGGGTCATTTCAAAACCAATATTTTACTGGTCTAAGTGCTTTTAGAAGAACACTTTCCTTTACCTTAGTGGGAATAACACATAATGACCTTTTTAAAAAAACTGATTTGTGTAATAAATTTGGAATGGATTTTTGCTTTTGGATTCACACTTGAAATAAAGTGCACTGCAAAGCAGTGATGAGAAGAGCTGCACCTATGTTGGAGGTAGAGAATAAGGTCTCCTATGTATATTACTATGCCTGCAGGTGTGGTTTCATTTTCACCAAGCTGCTCAAAGTTAGACACCAAGCAAAAGGCCGCTACTTTGGGTTGAAATTCCTTAAAAGCGCCCGGTCCTGTTATTCACAGATTAACCAGAATAAGCCAGAGGGAGACAACTGTGTCCATGCAGATTATTTACCAACATAGATGAGATTTTGAACTCGGGGTTTCCTGTGGACAATCCACGGGGCCGCTGTCCAGCCTGTGTGTGACAGACCTCATGTTCTTGGTCGCATTTGCTCTGAGTCCAGTATCCCCACGCGTGGTTTATGAAGCTCATTGGCACAGCTGGCAAATACCGTATAAGACACGATGCTGACATTGTCGGTGAGGGGAGTGGTTTCCATATTCGATCACTGCTAGTGGCCCTCATGTAGTAAAAGTACCAATAAGACCCAAAATTTAATTACCGGAAAACCACACACTTTTTTTTCGGAAAGAAATCTGAGGAAAACAACATATGAAAAAGAACTGTCATTGTTAAAGGTATTTGAATAATGAAAACATGTAATTTTGCAAAATAGAGGACCTTCAGTAATGTCCCAGGTAACACTGTTGACTGCTTTATCAAACCATGAACTTGTCTCTAATAAACATTTCTTTTGTTCTTTCAGAGACTTTTTAATACTGTTTTTACTGTGGCAGCTGAGTTGCAGGCATTTTCAACTCCTTTGTTTCTAAAGAACTGTATGATGCTCCTCAAACTAGCTGGGGCCCCTGATACAGCCCACGATATCCAGCTGGATCACAGCTGCCAAGGAATAACTGATAAACGAAAAGAATTAATGTGGCTGGGATGTAGCTCAGTGGCACTGCGCCTGCCTGGCAAGCACAAGGTCCTGAGTTTGATCCCCAGTACCCCCCCAAAAGGAAAGAATTAATGTACAAGGAATGACAGACACTGAAGACTTCACATTTTCATCAGCAAGATTCATACCTGTCTCCTCTTAGCACCGTGACCAGTTATCTAGACAAAGTCTATGAGATGGAGTACCAAATAAGTATGAATTTTAGTAGTAAGATCACAAAGTAGGACTACAGAAAGAGTTTGCCTACTAGTACTTGTTTTAAAAGGAAAATGGCTATCCCTTTCTGTCCCAAGAGGTACTGATACCTGTGTTTGCTTTAGCAGCTTGCCCAGCAGAAGGTGGAGAAAGTCTTGGGAAAAATTACTGAGAGCAAAAGCAAACTGGCTTATGAAAAGGGAAAACTCCAGGTATGAGATTTACTTTCAGATTTTTATTAACTGAATTCTAAATATTAATTGTCAAACTAAATATTGTTGATTTTGAGACCTAGTTATCATTCTCTGATTCTTTAGTCTCTGAACTGCCCTGAGCCTGCCCCTTAATTAACACTTCTGTTCCACACCCGTAGTGCAGCGCTGAAGCCACAGCCATGCTGGGATGACTGGAAGCCTTGTTATAGTTACATCATGATGGCCACTCAGAGAATGTAGAGAGCCTGTGCTGTCTTTTTTGATGAATTTTTACAACACATTCCTAGAAAGAATAACTGAAAATAGGGAAAATCCCTATGACTGGAATTCCAAGAACATTAGGGCATAAGTCCTGCCCATCAGTACTGGTCAAAGCCCCCTGGTGACTCCCGAGGAACCATAGTTGGGACCACAGGACTAAACGGGACAGAGTGAACCCCAGCTGGGGATGGTGACCATAGTCTGGCCAGAGGTTTGCCCACCTAGCAGCATTAACCGCACCCTCATCTGCTCAGGGTTCACCTTTGGGTTGGCAGATGACAGTCAGAAGAGGCAGGCGATCTGAAAGGCAGCTGGAACAAGAATATGTTACCAGTCTGATAAAAAGACCACTCTTTGTCCACTGTGTACATGCTTTCAATTAATATTCACCAGAGGTAATGATGCACGTAAGTGGAGTTATCTATACTTTGTAGGTTTTGGCCACACTGGTGCTTTTATGTCAGGTAGGGCTGGCGCATCCCCAGAGCACTGACTGCACCAGGCCCAGGGAACGTGCGTGCGTAGCACAAATCATGCAAGAGGTTCTGAGGGAAGGGCTGTGACCTCACACGCTCAAACGCTGGTCTGCAGTGTGTGCACTCTCATGGGTTAGAATGGACTTCGCATACTACAGAGGAATCGTATTCTGTGAAAGGTTACATTTTCAGAATGGACTGGTTAATGAGTGATAAAAATCCTGGATTTTAGGTGTTAGACTGTGAGAGACTCCCTCATATTCAAGCTTGTTTGGGTTTATGGTCAGTGCTGTATGGTGCTCCATCACATAAATATGTCACAAAATATTTGTCTAGTCTGTTGTCAGGTACTTAGTTTCCAGTTTCTTGCAAATTATTACAAATAATGCTCATATGATAAATTCTTGTTCATGTCTCCTGTACTTATACCCAAAAGATTCTCTAAGCTAGGTATAATCTTAGGAGTAAAATTGCTAAGTTGTATGAGGTACACATTTTGAGTTTTACTAGATTTTGTCAGTTTCCTCCTAACAGTAGTGATGCAATTTTAACAGCAGTGTGTGTGAGAGTATATTAAATAGGTGCGTTACAGTTACACGTGCTAACATGTGCATTACAGTTTCATGTGGGTAAATCTCAATCTGTATTCTGTTTAGGGTTACATAGGTAGTAAAATTATTTTTTAACAATGGGAATGATAAACACCAACTGCCCCATAGTGTTTAACTGGAGAGTGGACAGCAGAGATTTGGTTAGCATAGACTGTCTGCTAATTTTTTTAAGTTGAATGTTGGGTAGAAGGGACATTACCAAATATGTCTAAAAGATCCCCAACATTTTTATTGTTTTTAAACATGTATGAGTGTGAGTTCCTTAGCCTCACACTACTCTACCATTGTCTCCTTTGCCTCCATTGCCTGGATTCAAACACATGAGCCTGTAAGCAACTGCATTTGTGACCTTAATTTAGAGATTGGCTACAAGTTTTTGGTTTTTGTTTAATATGTTTTTTTAATTGGACCATAACATATATACCAAAAAGTACACCAAACACAGCCTGATGCATTTTTTACAAGGCAAAGAGATAAGCACTACAAGGCTACATGATCAGCACTCAGATTGAGAAACAATATTTCCACACCCCAGACCTCTTCTCATGACCATTCCCCACAAAGAGTAGTTTCCATCCTGACTTCCAGCACCCCACATTGCCTTATCTCTAGTTTTATTTTATATAACCACACAGTGCACACTCTTTTTCTGGTTTTTGCCTCTTTTACTCATCATTAGAATTGTGAGTTTCATTCATGTTGTTGTTTGTTCTGGTTCTTTGGTTTACATTGCTACATGGTATCCTGTTATATGAATATTAGGCAGATTCTTGGGGGGAAAAGTCTATGCTACATTGACACAATTCCCTGAATATATTTTTGTATAAACTTTGGCCATTCAGGTTGTGTTAACTCAAGCTCATTTCAAACTATAAATGAGCTACTATTACAGGCATGTCCTACTTTACTTCAAATTTATAATATGTATTTAAAAAATTGGAAAATACAATTGTATTACTTCACAAACTGGATTGAAAAAGGGTTTCTTTTCATTTCTCTATTGTCTCATAGTTTCTACAGTGTTGATATTTTGAGTTATAGATAGACCTGTCTGTATAGTTAGACCATTTGACGCATGGGGGGACCTTGACCTAAATTACTGCTATTCCTGAGACCTGCTGAGAAGCTGATTATGGAAACTGCTTGTATTTTAATGATCATGGGACACCAGACCTCTGAGAGGCAGCAGGGTTTATTTGCTCCTGACCTGCCCTTCTCTGTTCTTTCTCATTTTGAACGTTCTGAATTAGAATTTCTGCCAAGTGAGAAATTCAATAGAAAAATTAAAGTGCTTTCTGCCTGAGAACATGCCCTCTGATGCGTTTCAGGGTGAGTTATGTGAGAAGATTGAGGAGTAAGGACTTTGTGTTCCTTGAGGAGAGGCAAACCTGCAAGTCCAGTCCAGTGGTGGCGACCCGATGGCACACACGCCGCAGCAGGGTGTCTATCATTGGAAGCTCTAAAGTCTTGCCAGCACTGGTAGTGCAGAGCAGTCCATTTTCCCTTGGGTTCTGGGGGTTCACAGAAGTTTGTTTAAAATGAGAATAATTGTTGGATCAATACCTCTCTTCAGAGGTACTATTTCAAGTTTTATCCTTAAATGAAAACCGAGATTAATTCTTGTGGACTCTTTAGAGAGCCACAGCACGTTTTTAGTGTAGCTTGTGGAAAAGGAGCTACAGAAGCTGACGCTGCCGAGAGAAGGAAGGGTCCTGCTGATGGAATGCAGTGACTTCCTGAGAGAGAGTGGGAACCTGATAGTCACTCGGGTCTTAGCAGTTCCTGGAAATGTCCAGTAGTTACTGCCCAAGAGAGCTAACATGATACTGTGAGGAGAAAATGAAATAACACTTGTAAGTAAAAAAGTTCGGACGAAAGTTTTCCTGGTTCAAAGACAGGCTCAGTAACAGTAATCAATGTTTTGTATGAGAAGGTTAGAGATACGAAGAAGAAAAAATGGAAAAATACAGGATTTGTAGATTTGTGAATATATATTAATGATTTTATCCCACAAAATGATAATTTTCCTTATGAGAAAACTGAGTAGTCTTCTTTATGAGTTAGTTTAAAAATGTTATGCAATGTGTCAGAGTTCTATTTATTCAAATTTTCTAATTCTGTCAGTAAAACACAGACTATGTCTCCAGGTTGCATACTGACAATTCTAATTACCAATATTTAGAAAGGTTTAGAATGCCAGGTACCATAATTCATTTAAAATTGAACTATATTAACCATATTTTTCTACTCATCAGTCTTGTCCATTTGTATTTTCCATAGCAGTAGAAACCAAATGAGTTATCTCAGCACTTTCAAGTTGCTGTGCCCTACTTTTAGCTGTGAGTTGAAACAGAATTCTTTGTATGATTAGAAAAACTTAGAATTTTTGTTTGCAAGCTTCAAATGTTTCTGTAAATTTTTCGCAAATCTCCCAACACCCTTCTTTTGTCATATATGAGGTGTATTTTATCATTTTTGTATTTTTCCTCTAGGTAAAGGTTAAACAGCTAGAAGAACAACTGCACTGTTTTGCTGAAACTAGTTTACAGAATGACCATCTGCAGAAGTTGAGTAAGACTCTTGAGGCCAAATATGCTCAGGTGTGGTTAATAGCTACAGAAGCTATTTTTGTTTTAGTTTTTAAGAAATTCATTGGTGCCTTTCCCCCCACCTTACTGTGTAGTGCTAAAAAGATAAAATATTCTCTCTCTCTCGCTCGCTGGAGATCCAACCCTGCGCCTTCACACTGAGCTACATCCCCAGCCCTTTTTAACTTTTATTTTGAGTCAGGGTCTCCCTAGGTCACTAAGTTGTGCAGGCTGGGCTACAACTTGTGATTCGTCTCAGTCTCTGAGTGCTGGGATGACAAGCATGTGCCATCATGTGAATATCTTCTCTCTTGACTCCATTCAACAAATATCTTTTAAGCACCTATCTACAAGATTCTCCTAAAACATAGAGCAACTCATTAAAATATTCAGAACAGAATTAGATATTTGAAGCTGAATTAGGACATTCAACTTGCTTCTAAAACGATATTTAGGAATATAATATACGTTATTATAGAGTAGAAGCTTATGCCTTTCATAAAAAATAAATTGTATTAATAAGTATTCATAGAGAATGTTGTTATGTTGAAAGCATTGAGAAATAGAGGAAGTGGTTTTTTAATTTGAGCCTTAAAAATCTTGGCAGATATGAGGAACAAGTACCTATGTTTTTAAAATCATAGACAAACTCCGAACTCAGTACCGACAAGGTATATCTGTAATAGACAAGCTTACCTAAAGGAGGGATTAGTAGTAAAGGTGTTTATTCTGCACAGTGCTTCTTGAAGCTGAAAACCTTGTATAGGTCACTTAACATTTCGACAAACGCAGAAAAAAATGTTTAAACAAATGTTTAAACGTTTAATGGGAGACTTAACCCAGGAATGTGTTAACAAAAAAGTGACTGATTTCAATGATTACATATTTACCCCGTGTATGTAACTAGACTGGGTCTTTAAAAGTCCCTTGGCTGTCCGCATGAGCGAGTGTAACTTCTGCCTCTATGACATTCGTGGCCATGGTAACCAAGGCACTAGAATGTGTCTCCAGCTGGAACACTCCGAGGCTCCACCCAGCTGGTTACTGATTTGGGACCAGGCTACCCTCGGGAAGCGGACGCTCACTGATGTGTTCTTTGAGCTAAGGGCCATCTCTTCACTAGGTCATACTTCGCGGTGTGATCTTTTCATTCTGAAAGCAAAGGAACACATTTTCAAATATGTTTCTCATGGAGGCCTCCAGAGTATCCTACCATTTCTCCTAGTAAAGTGAGCACTCCTTGAGAAATATTTCTAGTCTAGGTTTAGCTGGTTTTATTGTTTTTAATTGGTGATGCCTCCAAGAAAAAGGAAATCTCCAGAGAGGCCTGGATCTTCGAAAGCGCTGGAGAGCTCGAGGCTGTATGACAATAATGTGAAGGAAAGAAGTTCAGCGCTCGCCTTGCCCAGTGTTGATTCAAACTCCATGCGGCGAGTGACCTTTGCCCCTGCCCCGCCCTCTGTGAGGTCGTGCGTGGAGGTCGGAGACGGAGACGCCAGAATCTCCCTGAAGACTCTGCTGAATGCCATTAAAACCATGGAGGGAAGACTAGAGGGCAAAATAGAAATTCTCGCCTCCAGACCCTTGCTTAGTAATGAGTCACCACATTTTTTAAAACAGGATGTGGTAAGTGACAAATATAAATTAAATCTTAGGGAGATTTCAGATTTGTATAAGAATGAAGAAAGTTGTGAACAATCCAGAAAGATAATGCTTGCAGACCCATGTATTAAGGAAATAAGGAAAATTATGCATACTTTTCTTGATCAAAATCCAATAGATTCTTCAGAACCTATGACTTAGCGTCCTTTGCACTATTACGGGATTCATATAGAAAAAGGTAAAGCATTTTAAATGTTGCAGGTTAAATTTTTTTTAAATATAAGAATTTTGAGGAAGAAGTGAGCAAAGATATTCCTTGTTGCTGATGGGAGGATGAAATGGCTCACCTTCCTGAGGAAAGGAGTTTGACAGTGCGTGTCACACTTGGACCCCACCGTAGCGCTCCTAGGACAGCTATGGTGAACTGTCAGGCAATGACCACACTGCCACCCAAAACCCACTTACTTACCATAGAGGGCCAGCACTGCCTTTAAACCTGAAGACTGAGTTTTTAGTTTAGAAAAAATAGCACCTGCATTAACATCTTTTGTCTTAAAAGAAAGATGTAGCATGCATGCCATGATTGGCCACCATTATTAAGACCTTTCGCTACATTTGTGGTAATCAAGTACATGGGAAATGTCAACAAGGTTACTTTCTGGAGTATTATTGGTTAAATAGCAAGAGTGAAAACAACCAGAATTCTATACCTATATATGTAAACATCAGGGTTTAGAGGAGTATATATAATACGTTGCTATTTGCATGCAAAAAGGTAGAGATAAAGAATATATACAAATGTACTTGTACATACACAGGATATCTTTAAAATGAATCATAAATTGGCAGTATTGGGGGGGATGAGGGAGCTGGGATTTTTTTTAAATTTTATCTATTTGTATCTGAAAAATAACAAATGTGCTACTTGTTTAGAGTTAATTTATGAAAGGCTAGTTTTTTCAACAAATGGTGCTAGGGTAATTAGATTTACAAACCTCACACCACATAAAAATTACCTCAAATGTCTCATAAAACTTGAAGAAGAAGGGCCAGGGATTTAGCTCAGTGGTTTCGCCGCCTGCTGCACAAGCACAAGGACCCGAGTTTGATCCCTGGTACCAAAAAAGAAAAACAAAAAATTGAAGAAGAAAACAGAAGGAAATCTTTGTAATCTTGAAGAATGGGCAAAATATTTGAAAACAGACATTTCACCAAAAAAAAAAAACAAAACAATGTGGGCCGGGCATGGAACAAATACAGAATTGATATGTAGTGTGGATAAACATATTTAAAAGTCTTAAGTTTGGTTTCTAAATTGCTGTGTCTTATTCTAGTCACCGATTTATTGTGCTGTAGGAAGTTGCTTATTGCTTCTGTTTTTCTACGCAGGTGAAATCCATTCTTGAGAAGAACAAGAAGGAGCTGTCCCAAGCAGTGAAGCACCGGGCCGCCGCCCTCCAGGAGAGCCAGAGGCTGAAAGGGGACCTGGAGGCCCTGGAGGACAGGGAGAGCAAGAAGGCAAGGCCCCTCCTCTCTGCGCGCTTAGGAAAGCTTGCCTGTGCTGTGTCTTGTCTCCTTCAGTTAAAGCAGTGAGGACTGGTCAGAAGAGGAGGTCCTGTTTCTAGGGGAAAGATAGCTTTAGAATAGTTTTTAAATATGCAGTGTGTAACTCACACTTTTTTGTCTTAAATGAATCAAAAAGAACAGTTCTAATTTTTTCTGTTAAAACTCATCTGAAAGCCAGGCATGGTGGCACACACATGCAATTCAAGCAATGTGGGAGGCTGAAACAGGAGAATCTCAAATTTAGTCCCAACCTGGGAAATTTAGGGAGACCCTGTCTTAAAAAGCACTGTGAATGTAGCTCAACTTTCCCTGGATTCAATCCCTAGTAATGGGAAAAAAACCAAAACTAGAATAAAAGTTTGACCTTGTTAATAATAACCTTCATACTTATGCTTTACTGATGAGACAAAATAGCGCTGTGGCCACAGTGGCACACGCCTGTAATCCCAGCACCCGGAAAGGCTGAAGCAGGAGGCTGGCCTGGGCCACATAGTGAGTTCCAGGGCGGCTTGGACTACACAGGGAGAGACCCTGTCTCAAAACAAAACCAAAAATCAGTGCTGTGATGCTTTCCCTTAATATTCATGTGATATGTCTTAATGTGAACAGAACTCACATCTCAGACCTTTTAGAGGCATGGCAGGGGTATCCTTGATGGAAATGTGTGAGCAGAGTTTGTACTCAGGAACACTATGCTGTGCTGTTAATATTATAAAGGCTCATTGGAGTAAGGAATGATGTACAAGGGCCGGGGATGTAGCTCAGTGGCACCACACCTGCCTTGCAAGTGCAAGGTCCTGAGTTCAATCCCCAGTACCACAAAAGAAATGATGTACATAAAAAATAGCCTGAAAAATGAGCAAATGGTTTCATCCTCCATCCTGACTGCACTCCGTGTTACACATTGTTTCTGGTCAGCGATTTCTGTCAAAAACATCATGGTGTGTTTTCACCCACCTTATTCACTGAATCTGTATTGTGTGACTGCTGGCTCTTCCCCAAAGTCAAAATGAGCATGAAAAGTAAATTTTTTTGAGTCAATTCAGGATATTACAGCCATAACAGCCCAACTAAAGACATGAAAGAGGACTCCAGAACTGCTTCAGAAAGTGGCAAGAATGATGGGTTGAGTGTGTTTGAAGTGAGGGGAGGATTTTGAAGGGCATTAATGTCTTTTACTGTAATAAATTTTTAAATTTTAAACTCATTTTTTTAATCACACTGCATGTGAGAACACACAGTATTTTCTCTCTGTGCCTGACTTTATTTCACTTCACATAATGACCTTCACGTCTATCCATGTTGCTGCAGTGATAGAGTCTCATTATCTTTATGGCTGAATGCTCCATTGTGAAAATGCACCACCTTGTCTATCTATCCCACCACATCTCAAGCTTGCTGACTGCAGGAGCCAGATCTCACCTCTCTGCGGAAGGCTGTGAGCTGCATCCTTCTTTGGTAGCTTTCACTTCCCCTGCACTGTCTTTTTTTTCTTTTGTATGTATGTATGTATGTATGTATTTTTTTTGTGGTACCGGGACTCGAACTTAGGACCTTGCACTTAAAAGGCAGGTGCGGTGCCACTGAGCTAAATCCCCAGCGCCCCCTGCAGTCTTTCTTTTCTCCCTATCCGGTAATTCTGATGGGGTTCAGCTGTGCTCTCCGCTGACCTCACGGGAGCCACTCTGGACCCCGCCGTGTAGGGGCCTCAGTTTCTCCAGTTACGGTGAGTGCCGGGTCACCCTAGCAGTTGGGAGACTGCTGCGTTTCCCACAGGAATGAAGGTCTACTTTTCTGTTTTTCAGAGTCATGTTCATTTAAGAAACATAATCTAAAATAATACTTGATTCCTGCCAGCCCGCCTTCCACACTCTTTCCCGGGAGTCACCAGAAAGAATCGAGTCTCTGTCTTGTTTCATTCTCTCCTAGGTGGGAAACTTTCAGCGCCAGCTGGCAGAGGCGAAAGAAGACAACTGCAAGGTTACAATCATGTTGGAAGACGTGCTGGCCTCTCACAGTAAGATGCAAGGAGCTCTGGAGAAAGTGCAGATAGAGCTGCGGCAAAGGGATGCGGAGATCGCAGGCCTCAAGAAAGAAAGGTGCCCGCGCCCTGCTTCTCCCCGCCCTGCGCTAAGGAGCAGTGGGGACCGCGCTTCTCCTCCTCCTGCCGACTACTGCCGGGGTGGTGCGCGAGGGGCCGGCAAGGGAGGGGCTGGGACGGGAGGGGCCTGGCGCTGAACTTGGAAGCTGCCCTGTTTCGCCGCGGAAGCAGGGAGTGTGTCTCTGCTCGGGGCTCCTCTGCCTTTGCCCTTGCTGCGCTTTCACCACATTCACAGTGGGCCGCAGCGCCTGCCTGTGTCTCGCTGCTGGGCGGCTCTGAACCACCAGCAGCGTGAGCTTGCCTGTCCCATCCGCAGCGTGAGACAGTGTCATGGGTGGGCCGAGCCGCCCGCCCGTGCGACAGTCCAATCCAGTCGTGTCGTGTCGTGCAGGGACGGGTGGTTCAAGCCAGCAGGAACACCTTAAAGGCCATTCACAGGTCTACACAGCAGTAAGGGCGCGGATAATTGAAGCGGTGCCAGGTAGCTCCGGAGAGGGCTCACCGACCTCCCACCCTGTGGGAGGCCCGAGGGTGGAGCCCAGTTATCTGCACACAGATAAGTGAAGCTGAATGACTTTTAGTTTGAATTCATTCATTGCTGTCTTATTTCAAGATTAACAAGGGCCGGGGATGTAGCTCAGTGGCGCCGCGCCTGGCAAGTGCAAGGCCCTGAGTTCGATCCCCGGTACCAAAAAAAAAAAAAAAGATTAATAGGTAAATCATCCTGAGAACTATTTCTAGCTATGTTTTGTAAGTAAACTCCTTTGAATGCTTAAAAATTAATAAGTTTTCCCTTTTTGGTTAAAGAAGAAATAGTCTAACAGGGCTTGTGTGTGTCGGTGCACAGTGCCTGTATGTCATGTTTTCATTGTGCTTATTATTGTATATTATTGTTATATAGTATATATAATATTATAGCTTTGAATTCAAAATGTCAGGAGAATAGCATTAAAAATATTGTTCACCATTCATAAAATGTCTAAGTAGAATTCTGAGAAGCAGAATTCTCAAGGGCAAGCCTTGTAGAAGTGACTCTTTTTTGCGATGATGCTCCATATAGTATAAAATTACCAGCCCATGGGTCAGGCAGGGATGTGTACAGATACCCTAATGCTGTGGTGGCGAATCCGAGCCACACCCAGCTGTTTGTTATCTCTGAAAACTAAAAGGTTCGCCATCACTGCCCTAATATGTCAGGCCCAATTGAGTGAGACAAGTCATTTAACCCTCAGGAGACTTAGTGTTTTAACCTGCAGCTTGTCATCTACCTCTAGCTCTTCGGTGTTTTCAGAGTTGGTGGCCAATCATGTATGATACTGGGAGCTCCTTGGGAGAAGAGTGGATGCTCCCAAGTGGTAGCATTCTCTTTTCCTGCTTTCTGTCCAAAGGGCCCTCAACCTGCAGCGGGTGCAGAAGCTGGAAGCCGAGGTGGACCAGTGGCAGGCCAGAATGCTTATTGTGGACACCCAGCACAACAGCGAGGTATGGGGTAGTGTTCTCAGGTGGTAACGCTGAGCTTTCTGATGTTGCGATAGGACTTTCAGAAAAATGAGGGGAAATGATTGGGTAAGTTTCCTTTTCATCCAAGTCCAAGTTTAGACGGTGACCTATTCACAAATAGGAAGTAGACCTGGAGTCTGTGGGCAACCAGGAACACAGCTGTGACTAATTCTCTTGGTCTTATATGGTCCACATGCTTTTCCTGTATATTAATGAAATACTGTATCTCATAAATGGAATATATTTCATTTATATTAGTCCTCAAATAATATCAGAGATTAAAGAGCTTAGAAAATTACTGTTAGGGCCGGGGATTTAGCTCAGGGGATTTAGCTCAGTGGTTTCGTCGCCTGCCTCACAAGCGCAAGGACCCGAGTTTGATCCCCAGTACCAAAAAACAAACAAAAAAGAAAATTACTTTTAATCTTTTAAGTAGCTAGAGTGATCCTGCTGTTAATAAGGAGACATACACATATATGTGCAAGATGTGACTGTGTACCTATACTGCACACATGTATGTTATATGCATGGATATTTCATACAGCTAACCTTTTTAAATGATATACAAGGAACAGTTGCCAGTTTTTAATCTTTCCTAGGGGATGAGACCAGAAGGTAAAGGTAATATAGTCAAGAAGAGGAATTTAGCTGGTTAAGAATTTTTAAAGTTAAGATACATTAAGCTGGCTCTATTTTCCAAAACTCTTGGGTGGCCAGTGGTGCCTGCCTTTCCCACTGCCTCCTTGGAGTCCTCAAAGCAAAGCCTGCAGTAAGTTCTCAGGGATACATTCCAGGCCCTGACATCACTGAGCCTGGTCCTCAGGAGTTGTTTCAGGGCCACTTGAGGATGCAGTGTAGAATGTTCTGGACCCCTTGCATCTGCAACAGTGGACTTGAAAACACTCTTCCCTCTTCCAGATGAAGCCTCTACAGAAATCTCTAGATGTAGCTAGAGAAGACAATAGGAAATTGGCCATTAGCCTGGAGCAAGCTCTCCAGGCAAATAATCATCTGCAAACCAAGCTGGATCACATTCAAGAAAAATTGGAGAAGAAAGAACTTGAGTGGCAGAATTTGGAAACCCTCAGGTAAGGACATCAGAGTCACAGTCACACCGGGGAGGAGTTCTGAGAGGAGGGGTAAGAGGAGCCATGGGTCAGCTCAGACCCTTCCCGGCTCTGAGCTCAGACTTGCAGCCACACAGCAGAGAGGAGCGGAGCAGGCCTGACGGGGCCCCTCCAGGTGACATGGGCGGCATCCCCGGTCTGCTCCCAAGCTGCTGCTTTAGACGAAGGGTGAAGGACACTGGTTCTGAGGGACATGAGCAGCAGCCTGCTGGGACTGACCCATCCAGGAAAGGATTCCCCATCTGAGCGGACGTCACGTTATTCATTCTTTTCAGTTTCGACCTGAGATCAGTTCGATCAGTGGTCCCCTAACCCCGGGGCGGATGAGGAACCAGGCTGTACAGCTGGACCGTGGAGGGTGAGGACTCACCCTTTCCTCCTCCGGATGGGTCCTCACATCCCCAGTGTTCCTCTGGCCTCCACTCCTCACTCCTGAAGCAAAGTGGGCCCCCAGCTCTGACTTGGCTCTGCCCGCCTCCCACCACAGACAACCTGCTGCAGGCCACCAGCTCCCACCCGGTGGGGATGGAACGCAGCTTACAGCCTCTTTTCCAGTCAGCCTGAGAGGAATCCCACCTCGAAACCAGCGCATGTTCAGTAGGACCCCAAGCTGTGCTTTCTTCCTGAGAAGCACAGTTTTGCATGATTTCAGGATTATAGACCTTAGGTAAAGCGTGATTCATCCTTGAACTATCTGAGCAGTGACATAAAAGTAAATTCGGAAGTAAGCACTCCCAGCAGAGCTCTGACCCTCTCTCATCCCTCATACAAATGGCCCCGCCCGCTGTGAGCTTTTAGTAGTAGGGGAAGGGGTAACATTTTGTGGTCCCCACAGAATTTTCAGGGTTTTGAACAACTAACTGTCTAAACCCTAACTAACTAGCTGATGCTGAAGGGTTTTTAAATGATTCTGTGAGCCACTGTGTAAGTCAGAAGAACATTACTTGAAACAAAGCTGAGCCATCTCGGGCTGAGACCTTTCACTAGAAGTAAAGTGTGCACAGATCACATGTGAAAATACCTTCTCCACTTCAGCGTGTCCTTTCTCCTGTATCTGACTCAGAATAGAGACCGGGGTGCCCATCACCTCTCCCCGGGGTGGGTAAATTACCCTGGAGGACATCCAGACCTCAGCTACTTTACCTGTAGCTTCAGACAAACTGTCACAGGCTTGACCTGAACTGTGAAATCAAGGCCTGTTCTAAACCTTGCTCTGACACTTGGATCCTCACGGCCTCCAGCCTTGGCACCAGGAACCAGTTTCATAAAAGACAGATTTTCCACAGACCAGAGAGATAAAAAGGTAGTATGATTTTAGTATCATTTGAGCAGTGTACTTTATTATCATGACATTGGTTCTCACAAGGAGCTGCAGCCTGCTGGCTTCAGCAGTGCGTAGAATGAAGAGCCTGCAGCCGGGACCCCTCCAGGGGCCGGCTCAGTAGGAGCCTTGCCCCTCTGGGAATCTAATGCCCCATTCCCAGGAGGTGGAGCTCAGGGGGTGATGTGAGTCTTGGGGCGCAGCTGTAAACATGGAGATTCCTAACTGTCTGTGCCCTGGGGGCTGGGACCCCAGTCTTACAGTATGATTGGTACATCTATTTTTCCTTTATGTGAATTTTTTACCTTTTGGCTAAATCTTTATACAGAATGACTTTTTTTTTTTTGAGACGGGGTCTCATTATGTAATTCAGGCAGACCTTGAACTCACCATGTAGCCCAAACTGGTCTCAAACTTGTGGCAGTCCTCCTGCCTCAGCCTCCCAAGTGCTGGGATTACAGGCGTGCACCACCACACTTGGCCAGAATGACTTTTTTAATGCTACAGAGAAAAGTACTTCTTTTTTTTCTTGTCACTGAGCTCCAGATCAGTGAGAGTCAGCCAACGAGATCTGCTGCTCATCTGCCAGTCCACTCGTACACCTTTCGGAGAGTTGCACATTCCCCTCCAGGTGGTTCTGGCCTCCTGAGATGATTTCCACAGCCGATTCACCATCTGTCTTCTTCACAACAGAGAACGGATGACAGAGGAATGCAGAGTGGAGGCAGAGATGCACGCCGAACGCATAGAAGCTCTAAGGAAGCAGTTCCAGACTGAGAGGGAGACTGCAAAGAAAGTGGCACAGTGGGAGCTCGCTGAGGTATGGAGTCAAGTAGTGAACAAGCAGGCCGGGGATTTTGCTCAGTGGCACCGCACCTGCCTTGCAATCACAAAGTCCTGAGTTCGATCCCCAGTACCAGAAAAAAAAAAAAAAAGATTTCACCACTAAGTAGGGGACGAGCCTCTGCAGAGGGGACAGAGGGAGGGTCACAGAGAGTGGCCGAAGTCCCTCTCAGGCAGGCTGGCTACCCCTGTGCCGATCCCAAGCAGCACTCAGGAGGCAGTCTGGGCTGTCCAGTTCTGCCCGCACAGCATCCCGGGTGGGAGCCCTCCTCAGTGGTGATGGGTGGCAGAGGCTGAGAGAGCCCCCGAGGGTCACACACCCAGTCAGCTGCATCTGCAAGGTGCTCAGGTGTGTGCTGGTGATGCTGCTGTAGCCGTGCCCTTGAACTGGCCAGGAGGTGACAGGGAAGGCTTTGGAGAGCCTGGTGTGCGCCTCCATGTGAGGCCGAGCAAGTGCGAGGGAGTTCGGGAGGGAGCCTGGGTTTGGGGCGTGTGGCTGCCAGATGACGGAAATGTGATGAGCTTAGCTGAATCGGCAGAGGCGCGGCCGGGCCTCCGGGAGGCCTGCAAAGATGGCCAATGCCACCAGGACGGTGAGCCCAAAGCCCAGGAGCTGGTCCGTTGCCGGCCGTGCTGTGTCAGGCAGGAGCAGTTGCAGGGGTGGAGCAGACGGCGAGGAAGGACAGAGGCCACAGGTGTGGAGCCTGCAGTGGTCAGTTTGGTAACTGCGGTCAGGGCCAAGCCAAGTAGCTGTGTTGAATGAAATACAGAGCAGTGAAGTCAGAGAGCCGTTTCCACAGAAAGAGTCAGACCTGAAGGGCGACATCATGAGCCTCGCTGGACGAGGGAGGGAGGAATCAAGTTCCTGCAGAGCTCGGGCAGGACGACTGGCCTGTGTTCTGTGACCCGCAGCATAGAGCAGCTGCCATGGGCAGACATTCACAGATCAATCTCAGCAGATGGACGGACGAGTTACAAAGCACTGTTTGAAAGCTTTAAAAAATGAATTCTGTGGAAACAGAAGAGCACATTGAACAGAAATGCAGCTTTAGTCCCAGATCGCGCAGAATAGTTACAGAACCAAAATCCTTCTGCTGGTGCGGGACGAGGGCGGGCTGTGAGGCGGCCGGGCAGCAGGGCAGGGTCCTAGAACGGGCTGAGGCCTCCGCCGCCTTCTGGTGGGTGTGCATTAAAGTCCTCCACGCGATCTGACTCCTGCTTCTTCTGTCACAGAGTAGAAACTTAGGCCTCCTGGGTTCAGAGCACTGCTAGGCAGTGCCCGCGGCGCCCAGGCCTGGGCAGTGCACAGTGGGGAGTGGCCGCTCGGCCTTGGTCAGGTGCAGACAAAGCTGCCATTCGCGTAAGGTCAGGCTTTAGGGAGGGACTGGCAAGAGGGACAGGACACTGGGCTTGACTCTGTTCCTTGCCAAACACTGCCCTCCCAGAGTGTTTACTGTGCCTCCTGTCTCTTCCCTTCTCAGCTCAAGTAGCACGGATTTAAGGGAACTTCAGGAGGTGAGGACTGTGAAATTATTTAAGTAATCACCATGCTGTTTTTCCATGAGGAAAATGTATGAAAACCCTTAAGAACAAAACTTCGAGCCCAGCATGGGGGCACACACCTGTAACCCCAGCACTCTGGAGGCTGAGGCAGGAGGATCACCATGAGTTCAAGGCCAGTCTGGGCCACACAGTGAGTTCAAGGCCAGCCTGAACTATATAGTGAGAACCTGTCTCCAAAAAGCAAAACAAAGCAAATTCAGTATTATAAAAATACATGCAGCTCATGAGATTTATGTAAACCTCCATATTGTTTGTTTTCGCTTCTTGGATATGAGCTTACAAATGACAGGAAGAAGAGAACAGCTTGTGGCCTGGTCCCTGAGCAGTTACTGTGTACCTGGCCCTGCATGCGCTCTCTGTTGGCTCACTTCACTCTTCCATGTGACTTGCCTTTCAGTAGATGAACCTGAGCTCTGGAAGTTAATGACCCCCAAACCACTCAGCTAGTCAGTGGTGAAGCTGGGACTGGAACTTGGCTCTGACTCCAAAACTGTGCCCTTAAAGTGCAAACAGTGAATATATATTTGTGTTCTTCATCTGTGCTGAGAAAGATTGTTCTCTGGTGTTAACATTACAAAAGCCGCTTGATCTTTTGCTTGATCAGCGGTCAGTATTAGTGCCTCGCTCACAGGAACACCAGCGGAGCTTCTTTTACTGAACAGCAGGGGGAAAGAGCCCAATCTGTTCCTTTGTGTTCCAAGCTGAAGAAAGCCCTTGACGAAGCCAACTTCAGGTCAGTGGAAGTGTCTCGGAGCAACCGAGAGCTTCGGCAGAAAGTCACTGAGCTGGAAAAGACGCTGAGTAGCAGCCAGGAGAAGGTAAAGAGTCAGAAGGCCCAGATAAAGCTTCACCTGTCAGCCAAGACGAGCAACGCTCAGAACATAGAGAGGATGAAGGTTGTGCGGGACCCCGCCTCTCCTCACTTCGAGGGCACCGGGGCGGATCGGGGCGTCTGGGAAGCGGGGTGTCCTCCCTGGCCGTGGGCAGGTCGCCCAAGGGGACCATCTCCATCTGGGGGGGCAGGCTGCTGTGTACACCCTGGGCCTCAGCTTCCAGGGCCACGCTCTGCGCCCATCTGTCCCTTTCCCTTTCCCTTTTTCCCTTTTTCCCTTTCCCTTTTTTCCTTTCCCTTTCCCTTTTTCCCTTTCCCCCTTTCCCTTTTTCCCTTCCCCCCTTTCCCTTTTTCCCTTTCCCTTTCCATTTCCCTTTCCCTTTCCCTTTCCCGATGGGCCCAGACTTTGCCCTCACTGAGCCAGCGGGGACCTTGCTCCCGTGTGGGATTCTGTCTGTCACCCTCAGGGCAAAAGAACAGCCGGTTTTTCCATCTTTTCACATTATGTCCACGTTTACTTTCAGCAAATAGAAACAGAACTGAGGCAAATGGAGCTGACCAAGGATCAATATCAGAAAAAAAACAATGAGCAGGTAGAGGGCTCCACATTTCATTCCCCATCCCCCCATCCCACACTCGGCCTCACCCCGTCCCCTGTCTGTCCTCTGCCAGTCCCTGAGCATCCAGAGGTTCGTGTTGGAAATGAGCAACCTGCAGAAGGAGATGCAGCTGCTGGCCAAGAGCCAGTACGAAACCTCAGCCCGGAACAGACAGCAGGAGCTGCAGCTGTCAGCCGAGCGCAAGATGAGGCAGCAGCTGGAAGGCCGGTGCCAGGTGAGGGGTCCCGGGCCCTCTCAGGCATCAGCAGAGCTCAGGAGCCCGAGCCAGTGCATAGATTTCCTCGCTTCTGCAGGAGGCACATGTTCATGGACAGTTCATCTTAGAATGACGCTTTCTAGGAAGAGGCCCATAGCTTGGAATACAACAAATGTTGTTTCCCATGTTTTTCCCACTACTGGGGACAGAACTCAGGGCTTTGCACTAGGCTGTGTCTCCAACTCTCTAAAATTTTTTTATCTTGAGACAGGGTTTTACCACTGAATTGCCGAGGCTGGGCTTGAACCTGCAATCCTCCTGCCCCAGCCTCCCAGCATGGTGGGGTTGCAGGTCTGTACCACTGTGCCTGGCACCATTTTTAGTTTCATAAAAATAATATGCATTTGTAAAGAACAACTGCTTGAGCTTACACATGCAAAACACTTGATCAAGCAACTAAATAAGGCTTCTGAAGTGGATGCCACGTCTTTGGGAGTCCTATCCCCTCAGTTCTTTGCTAGAGCACATACATTTGCTGCTGTGACAGGAATCTGAGGGATTCCCAGCCCAACAGACAGAACACTGTATCACTGAAAGGGACCTCAAGAGCCCGATAAATGCTTGCCTTCCTTTCCACAGGGATCACTGCTAGGAAAGGTGTCTCCGTTCTGCTCACTTTCAGCAGAATCTGTACATCACAGTCTAACTGTGTATTTATAGAGAGCAGGTTAAACTGAAGCTTAGTTAGAATTTGAAAGTACTCCATCCTGCTTCTGTAACGTGGTTGCCATTTTACAGTTCAAAGCTTTGTGGTTCTGTGTGCTACATGGGAAATCTGTAAGATCTCTGCATCACACTTGCAGGAGTTGGAAGAAGCTGTCAGACACCTGAAGAAATGTAAGGAGGCAACAGAGATTAAGCTGAAAGAAGCCAGTGCAGAGTCAGAGCAGGTGGGCATGGTGACAGCACGGCAGCCCTGAAACATGGCAGCGCCTTGCTGAGCAGGACTCTGTCGGCAAGTGCGTTTCGTTAGATGAAGATCCCATGTCCCGACAGCATGCGGTAGGGCACTAACGTACTGACCCTGATGGCCACGTATCTAGCACTGCGTGGAAGGGAGACCCGCGTGTGTGTAGCCTGTAACACTTTGTCATTTGACATGAACTAAACAGCGGGATCTGTGACCCGCGCCTGGGATCCCAGCACCTGGGAGGCTGAGGCAGGACTGCTGCAAGTTCAAGGCCAGCCTGGACTTCATGGCGAGACCCTGTCTCCAAAAAACTAAAATAAAAATTAAAAAATAAAGTGGAAACTGTTCAGTCAGTAACCTGAAGCATAGATTTTGCCGTTTGCGAACTTGCTTTCTCTCCTCACCTTAAGTTGGCCTGGTTGAGGATGTATAGAACCATACATGGTTAGGGCCACAAAGGAGCTTCAGCTTAGAGCATCACAGTGCTTCCCTTCAGTGTGTCCGTGTCCCTGCTGAAGGACATGGCACAACATAAAGCATGTGATGAGCCTGAGGAAACAGCACCGAGTGTGCGTACAGGGCAAGCCCACTGCATCCTGTCCCGTCCCATCTCTCAGAAGTGACTTGTCGGGCATGGTGTGCACACCTGTACTCCCAGCACATGGGGGGTGGGGGCCAAGGCAGGAGGATCTCTGGTTTGAGCCCAGCCTGGGCTACGTAGTGAGTTCAAGGCCAGCCTGCTCTGTATAGTGAGACCTTGTGTTTAAAAAAAAATTTTTAAGTGACTATCATCTCGTAGGTTCTTGAGTGTAGTACAAATGGATTGCACGGCCCTCACAGTCAGAACTTAAGTCTGATGGTCCAGGTTCAGTCCCTCAGAGCACTGCCTGAGAAGCCTGTGCCTGTCCCGTGTGCAGATCACCACTAACCTGGAGGAGGTGCACCGATGGTTTAAGTGCAAGTTCGATGGCCTCCAACTGGAGCTGAAAAACCGGCTGCAGCGGCGGCTTCCCCGGGAAGACAGGTGGCAGGAAGAGGTACCGTCCCAGCGGCGCGGCTCTCACAGGGGCCCCGGCTTGTTCCTTCCGGGTGCCCAGCGCCCTCTCGTCATCCAGCTCCTCTTTCACTGGTCTTTAGACTTCTCTGAAACCGCTCCTAGCAACCCGAAGCCACCTCCCACACCGTCCAGCTGCCTGGATGGACGAGTGGCTGCAGGTGCTCAGCCCTGGCGCTGGTTCCAAAAGGTTGGGCTGTTTCCTTTCCCATAGGATGAAGACGCACAGCCCAACGTCCCGTCCACACAGTCTGTTCTGCACCACTGGGAGACTAAACAGAGCCTCGGGAGTGGGCCCAAGAAGCACCCGTCGGAGGTCGGGAGGAAGAAATGTCCTTGACAGAGGAGCTGCCTAGTGGGAGGCTCCGCCTCCGGGACTCAGCCAGGCTACCAGGGCTGGCCTGTCCTGCAGCACAGGGACGGGAGTCTGGCTTATCCTTTACAAACTCTTTTGTATCTCCACAGGACCACTGTACCTTCTTTGTCCCTTTCCCTGTTTTCTACCCAATAAATTTAGTTTGTTGTATGATAGGAGATGCCGTTGGACGATACATAGCTGCGTTTTACTGTGCCCGTGAGACGGCCAGCAGGTAATCCTGAAAGTCCAGTGGCCTGTGCAGCGGTCAGTCTTCCTTGCCACTGCCTGCACTGAGACGCCTGGAGGTGACTGCATCCGGGGTGCTGGGCTGCACCGGGGATTAGGCCCCCCAGGCTCACCGCTGTCTGCAGGTGGGGCCTGGGGAGGAGGTGGCTCCCGCTGGTGATCTTGCCCTGTGCTCCTGCCATGATGCTCCTGCCACAGAGCCACACGCAGAGGACTGTGGGAGACTCGGGGCAGGGCCCCAGACAGCTGGCGAAGCTCTTCTTCCTGCGTAGTGTGGTGGTTTCATGGTCGTGTCTACTTTGAAATTTGTCATTGGCTCCTACACTTAGGATTTGGGTCCTTTCCCTAAGGATTTTGCACTTCCACAAAAACTCCATTGATGAGAAACAGAATGTGGAGATACAGTCACTAAAACCACTGGGGACTGGCTCAGAAGTAGACAGACATTTGGTGGAAGGAAATAGGAAGTCTGTGGTCTCGGTGCTGTTCACAGAGCTGGGGAGCCTTCTTCCTCCTGTCCCTGTGGAACAGCCTGGGTTTACCTTTCCACGTTTGTCTCCCTGAGTGCCTCGTGGGAAGTGGGGCTTCGCCTCCTGTGCTGCGTCACTCTTCCTGCAGGACGCCATGTGCGTGTTCATGGGCTCTCAGTTCTCAGAATCGGTTCCTCTGGTGGTGGTGTTCTTTATCCTGCCTGTCACTCGGGGGGCAGCACGAGCTCCCGGACTGCTGCTAGGACCCTGGCTGGTCCCAGGTCTCCTGCCGGCTGTAGGAGGAGGCGAGGCTGGCGCCAGGTGGGGCTGTCAGTAGTTGAGCACCCACTGACCTGAGACCCCTCTCCGGGCGAGCAGAGCAGACCTTGCAAGCGGCACAGCTGGTGTCAGGGAAACAGGCGGCTGCAGGTGTAGTCAGTGCTGGGGCGCTTACCCAGCATGCTGCAGGCCCTGGGTTCCATCCCTGGGATCCCAAAAAAGAACCAGAAGTGGGTCTGCACCTCTGCTGCTCCATTGCACAGGGTGAGGGGGATGTGCACCAGAGGGGCGGGAGTTTCTCTGGCCTGAGGTTGGCCCTTGTGTGCAGGTGCTTCCCGGACTTCCTGTCGCCACGCTGTTGTAAACCCACAGCGGGGTCAGCAAGTCCTCTCGTCCTCCTAGTCTGCGAGAAGTCTTCCGGCTTCACGATGAACGAGGGTCATTTTTGTGCAAGGCAAAAGCAGAAGCTGTTACAAAGTCTGGATCAGCCCAGCCCGGCAGGGTTCTCTGCACTCCACAGAGGAAGACCTGCCCACCGCTAAGGCTCCGGCCTGGTCCTGTGGACACCGCCGCCCCCCAGCCCCTGCTCTCTGCTTCCAGAACCTACGGGTGCCTGCACAGCTGCTTCCATGGCACTGAAGGTTGGCTGTTCTGTCAGTCCAGGTGTGGCTGGGGCTGGCTGCTTGCTAAGAGATCTTATTAAGAATTCCATTCGCTCTTGTAGGCTCTCCCTTTCCCAAATACAATCCAGCTTTATTTTGAAGTTTTAGGTTGGCTTTAATGGGGGTGGGGACAGAGTTGATTCCCTAGCAGAAAGCTTCTCGGGCCGGGGATTTAGCTCAGTGGTTCCGCCACCCGCCTTGCAAGCTCAAGGACCTGAGTTCGATCCCCAGAACCAAAAACAAACAAAAACGAAACAAAACAGAAAGCTTCCCACTGCCCTGTATCAGTAATAGACGCACGTGCTAAGCAAACCTTCCTGGGCACTTCCACGCTCTTGCTGTAACAGTTTTAAATCAGGTCCAGGGACACTATCATCATTTAACAACAAATTCTTTTAAGTGTCCATGCTTGCTCTATGCTTTCTTTTTGTGAAACAGAAAGTGGAAGGTTGAATGAAATGACAATGGATCAATTAGGATTTTCTTAGTGCCACTGTAAACATCAGAGCAGAAGTTCTTAGAGCCAAGGGTTTTTAATGGAATTAGGGGAATGACCTATTTTAAAAATGTAAACCATTGGGCCTGGTATTTAGCTCAGTGGCACCAAGCCTGCCTCATAAGCCCAAGGTCTTGAGTTTGATCCCTGCTACAAAAAAAAAATGTAAACCAACCACCGTTTGCCTCTAATTTTTTAATCTGACAAGGTGAACAGTTTAAGTGAAACAAATATACATCTTTATAAAGTTTGAAAATAAAAGATCAAGGGTACCTTTAGGATGTACCCAAAGGTAAGAATCCGGCTGGGCTCAGGAGCTAAAACAGAAATCTATAGGAATCGGGGAGTACAATGGACCCTTCACTTACAAACTCGATCGGTTCCCAAGGGCTGGTTGTAACTGAGCTGAGACCTGCATGTTTTACCTGGGTACCTGCTATAGATAACAAGAGGCAGATGAATCTTCATTAGCCTAATTAACCCTAGTGTTCCTGTCAGCCATAACTTAGGGTACCCTGCAATTTGCATTTCTCTCCTCCCCGCCTTGGTGCCTAAGCTCTCTCCTTCCAGACTGACAGAGTAACTGCTGGTTGGCCACAGCGCTCTCAAGTTAGAGCTCCATGGAGGAGCCCTGTCCACCCGAGGTCCCCAAGGAAGGAGGGGAAACCACCGGCCGGCTGAGCAGCAGCCTCCCTGTGAAGTGACCTTAAAGCAGCTGCAGCCATCGCACCACGTTACAGGGCACTGGGACCCCGGCCGATTGGGACAGGGTGAGCGTAAGCATCCTAAAGCCTCCCCGAGAGACGTTCTCCACAGGGCTTTCCCAGGCGGAAGGCCTTGAGAACCGTTAGGAAAACGGCCCAGTTTCCTCGCATCTGACTGGGCTGGGCCTGTTAGCCTGAAGGGAGCTGACCCTGTGGAGGCCAGGGGTCTGAGGCGGCCGCGCACTGCCGTCCCACCTGCTGACCTCCGGGAGCCCCGGCCACAGCCCCGGCCCAGCATTCAGGAGCACAGTGCACACCAGCACAGGGGGACCAGGGATTTCAGCGTCCACTTCTGTCCCTGAGCAGGTGATTCACCTTGCTTCCTCCAGAGCCGTGTGGCAGATACAGGCAAGCCCAGCTGCTCCGGTCCACGTGGCTGACACACGTCGGTGAGAAAGATGACACTCACAGCAGTCACCGCCCGTCTGCCCTGCAGCCCTGGGCCTGGCAGGCTTCACTCCGTGGGAAGCCGGATACAGACAGGGTGCACCCAAAGCCCGACCCCAGACAACCCTCACTACTCCAGGTCAGGCAGCCTCGTCACGGCAGCCAATAGCCTGCAATGGAAAACAGCGTTCTGTGAAACAGCTGCCTCTGTAAAAACAGGACTTAGTCAGGCCTGGTGGCACATGCCTGTAATCGCAGCACCTGAGAGGCTGAGGCGGGAGAGTGCCACGAGTTTGAAGCCAGCCTGGGCTACACAGCGAGACCCCTCAAAAAAACAAAAACCCCAAATAAAAAAGTGTTTATTTAAATTATATACACAGAGTAGAAGATACATTTATTTGTTATATACAAATTCCACTTCTCAACTAGAAAGATGTATGTACAGTATAAACAGCAGTGAGAGTTCTAGAAAGCCTTCTGTTGTCTTTACTCTCCCATCTGTTTCCTTCCCACAGCTGGACTGGGTGTTGCAACCACACACACTTATTATGGCACCCCTGAAAAACTGTTGGTCCCACAGTACATCTAGCAAGTAAGTACCTTTACTTGAGATTTAAGAAAATAGAATGCTAGTCAAAAGTTTTTATCTAATCTTTCAAACTTCATCAGCAATGCTTTATTACACACACACACACAGCTTCCCTGGAATGGAAACTGCGCCGAGTTACTAAACATCATCTCTGGTTTTATCTTGGGAAGCTGCACCTACAGATGATAACCTTTGACTGGTCTTGGAGCAGTATGTTTCGAATTAAGCCTCCATCAATGCAGCTAAAATGCATTTTGGTTAAAAGAGAAGGATGAGGGCCAGGATTTAGCTCAGTGGTTCCGGCGCCTGCCTCGCAAGCACAAGGTGCCGAGTTCGATCCCCGGTACCAAAAACAAAAAAAGAGAAGGATTAAATCAATTATCTGTCCTCCAACCACATACCACTTTAAATAATTTTGTTAGGTGCAGATGTGAGCAGCCGTCTTAACATCACAGAGTCTCACTTTCTTTGATAAGCAACTTCCAGTCCGTGTACTGGAAGGACCGCCTCCCCTCATGGTAGCAGACTGAAAGACTGCATGGGAAACAGCTAACCTTCCCTTCCCAGGAACACCCACTCGGGTTAGGATGTGGAGAACTATGCTGAAGGGGCCAGGGATGTAGCTCAGTGTTGCTGTGCCTGCCTGGCAAGTGTAAGGTTGTGAGTTCGATTCCCGGTACCAGAAAAAAAAAAACTGTGCTGAGGGGCAGCTGCCTGAGGACGCGCTGCACAGGATCATAGTACAGTAGAAGGAGTTGTGTTCCAGGAGAACTATACATAAGTCAGGGTCCTGCTGCATTCGGTGCCAAACACAGAGGTGAACAAGTGGAAAAACAACTCCACGCTGACTCAAGACTAATTCTGTCCATTTCAGTACTGGAATGATTTTCCTACACCAATTTTCCTAGGAAAATACCAAGAATACACAACTTACATGCAAAATGGATATATGAACCAATAGAGAAAAGCAACACTGTTGTTTAGAGGTGGAATCCAGGTCGCCATGCTGGGCAGCGTGGCAGAGGCACGTACTGAAGGTGACGCAGCTCAGCAAGCACTGTCCTCACCACGGCTGGAGACGGCTTCATATGGTGCAGTAGGTGAACAGGAGGTACCGGGCCATGAGCAAGTTCCCGCTGCTCTGGTAAATGAGGGCCAGGTTGTAGGCAATGTCTCTTCGCAAGTCCACCTGCTCAGCCTCTATCCCCTAGGAGGAAAGGAAGACAGGAGTATTTTCACATCTCAGATTGCCAACCAAGACCAGTTCACAGCAGAGGTTTCTAAAGTAAGTTTCAAGCACAGGCTATGGGAGTCGGTGGCTGCTGAGCCGGGCATAAGGCCAGGATGCCCAAGACCCAGGTGCCCAACCTGTGGCAATCACGTGCAGGAAGCAGGGGAAGCAAGTTTTAGTACACAAGCTACGATCTGTTCCGCTGTGAGCGGATGGGACCACAGTACCAGTGCACTGCCTCTCTCTGCAGATCAAAGGAAGCGGCCCCTCAGTGTTGAGTCAAATACCTCTGCCTCCAATGGGGGGAGCTCCAGCGCCTCCTGGTAATAGTGGATGGCGAGGTGAGTCAGCCCCAGCTGGTGAAGGGCTCGGCCCAAATTGTACAGAGACTCCTGGCACCGACCACGCAGGCTGAGGTATCGATTAAGGAAGGCGAAGCCCTACCGGAGAGAGAAGTCAGTAGTTCACTCATCTGCTGAGGGTGCATGCGCTAAACTACAAACTAAAAACAAAACTGTCAAGTCCTGCCCTGCAGAACACAGAACATCGCATATCTCAGATGCATCAAACAGTATCACAAAAAGGGCTGAAGACCCAGTAGTGAACAAAAGACTAGACCCCGGATCTCAGCTGGGCATGATGGTGCATGCTACAGTCCAGCATCCTGGAGGCTGAGGCAAGAGGACCAAAAGTTTGAACCCAACTAGACAAGTTAACAAGCCCTGCCTCAAAACAGCAATTTAAAAAAATCTCTGATCTCTCAAGAGTTTATAGTATTAGTGCAAGTCATGTTAAAAATTTTTTGAGGGCCGGGATGTAGCTCAATAGCACTGAGCCTGTCTGGCAAGCGCAAGGTCCTGAGTTCAATTCCTGGTGTCCCCCCCCTAATTTTTTAAAAATTTTTTTGCTGTTATGGTGCTGGGGACTGAACACAGGGCCTTGGCTTAGTGAGGCAAGTGCACTACCATGGAGCTACACCCTCACACCCCAGAGGAAACATTTAAAAAGACTACTTAATTGGCTAGTAACAGTGTAAGGAAAGTCACTCCGCAGGCTTGTCCTGTGTAGACATTTTTAACAACAGTTAGATGAGTCTTCGGGCAGAGCACAGCCGAGGACCTTGTGACTGCAGAGTTGAAGAGCCAGTGTGGCGGTGAGGGGTGTCAGTGACGGCTGCAGGACCCGCCCAGGGATCCTGGTGTGCCTGGGTGGCCAGGGAGGCCTGGCCTCTCGTCTGTCTGCTCCCTTGCTCTGCCTTCCTGGTGCCACGAACTGAGCAGCTCCCCACACCCTTCTGCCATGGTGCCTCCTTGGAGCCAGAGGGTCACGGACTCAACCATGGGCAAATTAAACCTCTCCTCCTCTAACTTGTGTCTGCTCTTGTGTCTCAGTAACAAGAAAGCAACTAACACAGAAAACCGGTACCAGAGAAGCACGGCTGTTGCTGTGACTACACGTGACCCTGTGATCTGAAAGCATTTGGAACAGGTTTGTGGGAGGAGTTTGGAAAGATTTGGAGATGACACCTAGAGAAGCCCCAGAATGTTATAAACTGAGCCTGATGGAAGAGTCTGGTCAGAATGCTGACAGTAAAGGCCGGGCTCAAGGTTTCAGCTGGAAATGAGGACTCCACTGGCCACTGGACTAGAAGCCACATGGGTCATGCGAGGGCAGAAAATTTGTCCACATTTTTGCCCAAGTCCTGAGATTCTGCAGGAGACCAAACTTAAGCACAGTTAATTAATGTGGCAGAGTAAATTTCAAAGCAGCCTGGCTGTGGCATGGGTACTACTGGCTGCTCTTAGCCAGATTCATAGAACTGGGGGCAAAGGCAAAACAGAAAAATTTGAAAAACTTAAATTTTGGCCCAGAAGGAGCCATGTGTAAAGTTGGGGTAAAAAGAGGTATGGCTGTTAAAGAGACCAGCGCCATTGAAAAGAAACCCAGTGCTCCACCTCAGTGGCACCATTCCTGCCTTGCAAGCACAAGGTCTTGAGTTCGATCCCTGGTACCAGGAAAAAAAAAAAAGTCACAGAATAAAAAGAAACCCAGTACTTTGTTCAGGGATAATAAACATGCCTTTATGTCCTCAGTAAGATCCCATCCACTGCAAGCTCAACCTTTCTTTTTGAAAACAGAGTCCCCAGGACCCACTCCACTGTGCTCGGCCACCCAGACACGCAGAGACCACTGCTTCCACTGAGAGCGGATGCTGCCAACAACCACGTGGTGCTCGTGTTACTGGCGTGCAGAACCCAGACGCTGTGGGGTCAGGGAGGCTCCTACCCAGATTTCAAAGGAAGGCCGAGGAGGCCAGGCAAGGAGCCCTCAGAAGGGCAGTGAATGAAGCCCAGTGTGTAGTGGAGACCTCATGAAGTCAGATAAGCCAGGAATGCAGAACATCTCCCAAGGAAAGCTGCAGGTTCCAAGTGAAGCCAGCACAGAGCAGGGCCGAATCAGGCGGGACCAGTAAGGCCACAGGAATGGGGCTGCCCGAGTCCTAGGAACTCACTTTCACCACTGCAAGGGTAATGCCTGGCAGACAGGGTTCTGGTCCCTCTGTGGTCCAATGCTTGTCTACTCCCCATTTGTTGGGAGCAATGCTACATAATTCTAGGGAAAAATCATTTGAGTAGGCCTAGTTCTCCTGCCTATAGGCCAGCTATAACACTCCAAGACATAATTCCATTTTGGCCTCAGGTCACAAGGGAGATCTCAATGATCCCATGATG